CATCAGTTTGTCATTAAATTCTCCAGCAGTAACAGGGAAACAGAACAGCTATAACTAATGTGTTGCTCACAAAAGACAGAAAACAACACAACAGCATTCATTACTAGGCCCACGTCACACCAAGGCCTGTTACCTTGAGAACTAGCAAATAATAATAATAATAATAATAATAATAATAATAATAGAAAACACTTAATGTAAAGGAACAGTTATATTCGGGTTCTTAAAATCAAGCTCCCAGGGTGCACTACATTTAGTGAGTGGGGCGTTTGTTACCAAACTTCAGTGCCACAAGTAACAAGACGAGCATTTGAAAATCCAACACAGTTTTGATGCAAATTCTGATAATTATTATATTCACAAAACACTTTATCTCAATAAAAGGAAAACCGAATGAGGAATATAAGGTGCTGTGATTGTTTAATTGTCAGCACACCTTAGAATCATAAGTATCATCTCTTTGCACCCTAACAAAACCCACAGAAACATGTGAGTACAATCACACACGCCTGCCTGTAACTACTAATAACCTACAACTGAATGTTGATAAACTAATACACATATTCCAAATTGTAATGAATCAACAGTGTACATTTATAAACTACATAAATAAATAGTGTTTTGATTCCTAACACAGGAGAGAGACAAACAAATACTAATCCCATGACCAACAGAGTCCTGACATAGTGTTAAGTGGAGAAAGAGTGACACCATAGCAACACGGCAGGCTTTAAGCCATCCAGTAGATAGGTCAGTGAAGGGATTGCTTAAATCTCCCTGTCAAACTGGTGCTTTTTCATATCCGAGAAAGTTTTCTGATCACACCTTTCATATTATCACATTCCCATCTATTAGGATGAGGAGATATTTCAATTATAGTTCAATACTGGTGTAAGGTCCTATACTTTATTCCACACCAGACCTTCCTATCATAGACACACAGAATGTAAATATGGACAAAACAGGAATATTGACAAATGTGTAGAAGAAATCTTCAGTTAATTTATAATTCTAAAATTGCCTGGAATGGTATCCCAAGTTGAATTCTCTTCCTACCAGGTTACCAGCCAAACCTGAGTTATAGAGAAATCTTCAAACAATACAATGCATTTCATTTGTCGTCCTACTATTTAACATATTATGATAAGGTTCTGTGCCTTTGGATCCCCTCCTTTCTCAGTCTTTCCCCTCAGTGGCTGCTGGTTAAATATCCACGTCTAAGGTAATTTGGGCTCCATTCAACCTGATGGATGGAGCTGCACAGCTTTGCCTACTAAAATTTAGAAAATATCGCAGTTTGGGGCAGAACCCACTGATCAAATTTCCACTTAACGAAGGGGAAATGGTCATTAACATGGAGTTAAAGAAACCCAGGTTCTTTCAAGCAAGCAAATATATTTGTTTTGGATGCAAGCAACAGTTACAAGGCTGCAGAAGAATTATAATGAGGAAATGACATAAAACTTAACATGGATCATATCTCAGGCTGCTATTTAACTGAGTTCTACTAACAGATGAAACAAAAAGACAAAAATGCTCAAAACAAAACACAGTTTTATGGACTTTCTTTAAATATATATACAACTGCCTATCATACTTTTCACAATAACACCTTCAAAATGTGTTAAAAAATCAAGATAAATTCACGAGACCCAGACCACCTTCATAGGTAATCCTATTTTGGTATTCTCTCCATAGCAGCTCACCAAACAGGCTTTAGAGCAGTCATGCCTGGTAAAATCAGACCCTCAGTATAATGGAATAACGGGAAAGACCATTAACTTAATAGCCCATCTTCATAACTTTAAAAGCTTTTGTTCTGCCAGACCCTAGGTATTCCTACTTCTCCATATAACACATCTCCATTAATGACAGTTTTATTTATAAAATGCTCCATATATACAAATGCAGGACAATAATCACAAAAAGATGTGACTTAAAATGTTATCATTTTTTTATCTGCCAGGTTGTGTGCAAAACATTCTGACCAACCTGCAAATGGTCATACCTGCACATTCTGTTACTAAACAAGTAATTATTAGAGGCTACTGAAAGCATGTTTGGCTTTAACACCCGATGGATGAATGTCTGTAAGCTGGAGTTCTTTCGGATATAAATAAAAAAGACTTATTCATAAAATTTTAATGTTCCATTTCACTTAGAGAAAGAGACACAAGTAGCCATCCATCATGCATTTAGTAATCGAGAGATAAATGCAAAAATTCCGTTATCCAATGGTACAACATGTATCCTGGGTATGGCAACCATTAAAATTGCTGCAGGTATTCAGTGAACAATTACCTTACCACCCCAACATTCCTTTTCCACTTTGAGTTACAAAACCCATCATTGGCCTGAAAGAAGTGCCTAATAGCAGGGCTTAGCTGTAAAATTCACCAGTGGAAGGCTTGTTACCAAACATAATGATAAATACTTGTATCATAATACACTTTCAAATTAAGAATAATACACATATTCAATTGTTTTTCTAATGGGACAACATACCTGTCCAGTGATTAAAGTTTTTCCCTCGGTTGACATATTTTCATTTTTTGTGCATGAGAAAGCCATATTCATGACGGCACATTAAACAATAATTGCTGTTTGTGACTTAGAGCCACATATTAGTTATTTGGATCGCCAAATAAATGACTGGCACTGCAATTTTACAGTCCAATTTTATAAATACAAACTGTGAACAATTTAAGGTTTTGGTCAGCTTTCGTCCAGGTCTTATGCTGTTTACATACAATAATTTCATTACATAATGCCAGCAGCTTGGACAAAACTACCTGGATTGCATAATACATCATATTAACATGGGTGAAAGTTGTAAAAACTGAAAATTCAGAAAACATAGCTTGCAATTTCTTATTGCATTTAAACCACATGAAAACACAGTATCATGAAGACACAGTATCATGAAATCTTTTCTGCATGTAAATATTCTGCAAAGGCACTTTTCTTTTCCAATTTAGTCCTTTTACAAATTATAAAATTCAATAAGTACCTGATGATATATCCTGGTGAAATGTCAGATGCTATGGCTCTCTCTACTAGGTAGGCTCTCTCAATGTCTGGGCAGACATTTAGCCCTGAATCAATTATTCAATTAGAAAAAGTATAAAACACTGAACCTAAGTGCAGGGATAGGCCAAGCAATAATTAGAAAAAAGGATTTTTTTCTTTTTTGGAAAAAAATTGGATTTTGTGTAAAAAATCCCAGACAGAATTCATTTGACTATTACTCCTCTCGAACACAAAAACGAAAAGAAACTTCCCTAAATAATACAGCTTAGTGCTGAGAGTGCCCTATGTAGCTGGCAGACAGGGCGTAGCAGAGGGCTATTAACTCAATGAGCTGGTCATTACAACCTAGGATACCAGAAGAACATCCTTTCACTTGGGGCATCTTAAAAATATGAAAAATTGATTTTCGCTTCTACATCAAAATTTTGATCTGCAGTAGTCCACTAACAGGAAGATGCAACAGTTTTTTGTGTCCCTTATAAAATACTATTTCATGTAAATGAACATCATCTGATTTACTGTTGGTCAAAACAAGTCAAGTTGGACAACTTTCAGCTCGAAAATTCTTTTGTGAAACTGGCCTTGGTCTACCACCTTCATTTCCAGCTCCTAATAACTGCCTCATCATCCTGAGGCTGAACAATATAGCACAATGACACATAATCCACTGCAGCCACTCAACAAATCCTGAAAACTACAGCATAATCCACATTCTGCCCGCTGGGGGTTTAACATACACAGCCCCTCCCATGGTTAACACACCACACTGGATAACTCATAGTGAGCCACTCAGCAAATCCCAAATTACAGAAAAAAATTACTGTTACAGTGGGTGGTATAAACTGGCCTTGTGGATGGCAGGAGTTGCTATTGTATTCAGGGCTCACCTCGGTCCACAGCGGGCTGCCCTTTCTGGGTACATCGCCCTTTCATTTCCAGCTGACAGCATTTGGACAGAGGAACACGGTGGGTGGAAGAGGGTGACTGAGTGCAAGGCACTCTGACAGCCACAAGGAGCAGAAAGATGCCCAACACTCAGCAACGGACTGCTTCCATAAGCTCCTAGTTTTCTTGTGTCATGCATATAGCTGGCTAGCTGAGCAACACTTTAACCCCCACCACACCTCCAACTAACACTACAGCAATATGAAAATAATACAATTTTTCATTACATGAAACAGTTGGTCAATATCTATTAACCCAAAATGATTACTGCTGACTGCTACAACTACCTACATAATCATATATCTAGGGAGGGTAAAAATAATCTACTATATTCAGGTATGCTACACCCTAGCAGGTCTTTGAGATCACATACACCCCTTCCCTGGGGCTAAGAAATTAACACTCTGGCATGTATGCTGACTACACTCCTTATACTACAGTATCAGTTTTCTTCCATCAACAGTAATTAAGTTAACTTAATGCATGCATGCACTCCACAGGCTAAATATACTGCCAGGGAGTAAGCAAAAAAATTTGGCTCTCTTTGTTGGTAATCAAATTAAAATACATTTCAAGTTTCCTGTATAACTGATCTCATCAGTCTGTAGATAAGTGATCACATCAGAAGATTTTTATCTGGAAAATTGCACTGAAATCTTCAAGTCTGTTGACATCATCCCAAAAATTAAATCCAATTCAAACCACTCTGAAAACTAGATTTGAAGGAAAGATTTTAGATTTTAATGCATTAAAAAACTCCTTTTTCTCCCTCTTGCACATTTCTGGAGTTAGCTACAGGTAAGTACTTTGAAAGACATCATACCACCGTTCTGATCGCTAACTATATCCTCCTTTTTCTTTGACTTCAATTTATTATGATGTTTCAAACAAATCATTTCAATTTCCTACCTTCAAGACAACCATCTGAAAATCAAGCATAAAATTCTCTCACAAGAACTACACATAGATTTTTCTTATAAAACATTTTTTTCAATCTTTTTCTTAACATAGTATCAAGGACTCACCTGTAATGTAAGTTAGCCTGAGTTCTGATGGAGTACCTCCTGTTTCTGTAGACACCACTGAAGCCTCTGGGTCTAGTGAGAGAGAGAGAGAGAAAAACATGAGCTGTTTATCTCTGTTGCAGATAAAGAGTACAAATTGTGAGGAAAAATAATACATGTTTTATTAAATTATATTATTATATCCCACATATGTCAAGATAAAGTGTCATACTTGCATTCAACACACCTCAAGTAAAGTTAAAGTTTTTTTTCATTCTTTAAAAAAAAAGTGCAAAACCAATGGTTGGAATACCTCAATGTCCCCTCCCATAAACAGCCATAAGAAGTGATGCTGTTCCAGGCAGTTAATAGTTTAATACTTTAATATATATAGAATACTACCAAACAATTTATCTATTAACTTCCTTATAATGGCACAATGACTTTCAACATAAACACAAGCATTGATTAGCAATAATGTGCATTTCATAATTAAGCAGTTCCTAATGAGTAAAATCCCCAATCAGACAGGACTGACAAATTAATCGGTGCTTTATTCAAAATGAGCTTGAGCTATCTTGCACAGGCTTTAAACAGGCTGGTAAGAGAACCCCAAAGTATACAATCCACTACTATTTCTGCCAGCATTACTGAAAGGTTCCTGTTCCATATGGTCCTTGTAACATATCTAAACAATGTATAAAAATGTAACCATTTACTGGCACACCAAGTTCTTCCTAACTGCACACTGACGCAGAGGTATTTCACAGCAAACAGAATGGCAATGAACAGAATGGCAATGAAACATTTGATTCCCACAGAAAAATCTTCTGGTTGATGTTATATCAACTTTGATCAATTCTCTATACTGGCATATCCAGAGTTACCAAGTATGTAATGACATTTTTTACACACAATGTCACAGCAAAATACAGTAGACTAAATCTTCATTGCTAGTGTCATATTTTGTGTTGGCCTACCTTCTAGTGGCTTTACCCGTTCTTGAAGTGCTTCTGTGTACGATGGAGGAGGGCAGTCTGGATAAAAAGTAAAAGAAACCATATAGTTTTTATTCTTTTTTATGTAGAATTACACAATGCCTTTAATAAATTTCAGTCAGGTAGTCGCACTTAGAAGAGAATGTTCAGAATGTTTTATATCTCACATAGCACAGAGAGGGAGAGTTTTAAAAAATTCACAAATTTTACTCTTTTTGAATGAGTGACTGAGTGTTTTTCAAGGTGAACTAAAAAAACAAAAGTCCCTAGATATTTTGAACTGTTGCAAATTTATCCCTTGCAGCAGTTGCTGAAATAAAAACTAGAGAAATAAAAAAATGCTAACTAGCTATTAAGGATAAGGCAAAAAACATTTTATCATAGTTGTGATTGGGATCTCATAATTTTCTTATTTTAAGTACTTTTCCTATAATGACAAAAAAGTATTATTTTCATTCATTTCAATATTAACAAATCAAGAAAAAAATGTTAGATACATTTAGGATTTTGCCTGTTACAAAGCCCACTTCTTAATACCATGTTCAGGATAGATAAACATCCCTCATACATAACTACGGTAAAAATCCTGTCCAAGTGGATATTTTATAATGAACTGCCTGCTTGCCAATGCCCCTTATTTGCTCTGGCCTAATCCCAGATTGATTTTGATTAGAGAAATAAAACCTTTCAATGACGACAGAAGATAATTGCCCTTGATGGCCTCAGTCCAATAAATAGACTGTACACGGCCTCGGCGCCACCACTAATTGTAGCGCTTTGAATAAGAAAAGGCCACAGTATTTGCATCCACTTACGCCGGCCAGTCTAGGCCAATTTACTCACGGCCCATCGGCACCGACGTTCCGTTACCAGAATGTGAGGAACTGTGTTACGTTTTACCCTTAAATATTTGGAAAAGCGTAGGTCAGATTTTAATAACACACGACCAGAAGGTCAACCAAAAGCAGATGGCCTCGCGTTCAGTTAAATATAAAGCGATCACGCTGGTACAGCGTTTACATGCACGCTGACCGATTTGGATGAAGATAACATTTCCCAAACTCCGCGTGCTAAAAACTGCTTTCCATTACGCTTTGCTACTATTGATCGAAATCCCATGCTTGGTAAAGCGCGATTTCCCTGCGTTGCATAGTAAATAGTGAAAGAAATTTATGAATGGGACTCGGGCTCGCATGGCGTTCAAAAGAAATCAACATGGCCGCCCCCTAATGAACGCAGACGCCTCGACTAAAATTCCCTACCTGGTGCATAGAGCCGACTCCAGTGGTACGGATTGCAACAGACTTGCGTCTGATCCCCCGCGGTGCAGCACGGCAATTTCTTTAACTGTTGGCTCGGATCGAGATCCGGCCACCGCCATACCTGACAACATAAGAAGTGAGGGGGGGCGGTGAGGCGCCCCGACCGAATATCCTCCTTTGGGAGTAGCACACACGGCGTCTTGTCCGCCCCCTTCGTTTCTACGGCCTGTGAAAGGACCTCTAACTGGCCTTCTTTAAGTCGTTTTAACATTGAATTCAATACACTTTTCAGATCTATATCCTGACTACTTTGAGACGGACACGAGGCTTCATGTTCTGTTACCCGTTGTTTCCACAGACGCTTCAGGAGCGATGTTCGCTTTGAGCGAAACATGCAGTGCTTGACATCACAAATGATGAAGTTGATTCTGGCGCATTATATTCCTCCTTCTCGTTTCTGCCGTATACTCCTCTTTCGTTGTGATCCTTAATATATTGCCGCTATTTTCAGACTCAAGATTACCACTGGTGCCAGTGATCTGCCCAACCTAGTGCTTACACTCCACGCGAGATCTGCACCCTTTCCTGTTTAAATCCGACACCGATTTTTACAACATACACAACCCAATGATGCCTCTGTACCTCCTTGTGCTAAGATCGTAGTAATTTCCCTCTCTAAGACGTAGAAACAGTATAAAATCATGTAAAATTCAGCACAGCTTCCCGTTCTTCTACACTTCAAAACATCACTGATATGTTTCAGTACTCCAGCTAAATGGGACATGCCAATGTGATAAATAGGGGTGTAAGGTCAGAGGTCACCGGGTCGAAGTGATTATAATCCCACAAAAATGTGAACATAAAAGTGATGCCTGATTAAAAACCAATTAAGACAGAATAAAAGTGAAGATACCCACTCATTTTTCTTCCATGTTGGAAAATAAAACAAGAAATTATGAACCTTTATAACCATTCTCCCTTACAACTCTAAATGAAGGACCACAAGCATAACCTTAATGGGCTTCATCATGATTGGCTTATCTTGATCACATGGTTTGTCTAGACTTTTTGGCGCGGCTGATGTCTAAAGTGATTGTTGCGCAAATAACCTATCGAATTACTGCAGATTTACATTTCCACGCAGAATTTTCCTAATTCTACCTAAAATCCTTCGTCGGAAAGCTTATAACGCAACAAAGCAGCCTCGGTTGAATTAAATCCACATTTTTGGTCCGAAAAGAATAAAGTTGTAAGGGATACCCCACGTATTTGTTAATGTGTATACTCCGATGCGTTTACAAAAGTTGACAGCGGATTGCTGCAGGGAAAGACTATAATTTTATCTTGGCTCGCCACGGTGACTTCTGATTGGCCACGGCAGAGCTTAGACGGAAACCAGTTTTCATTTCCTACGATCAAATTACCCGTAAATGCTGAAGCCGTTTTATGTTTATCCGTAATCAGTGGGCAATCTATATATAATTTTGTTCAAAACTAAGGCCTATAAGATAGAGTCGGGACACGATTCATCAAGTTCGTGGCTTTGTGCTAAGATAAAGCAGACGACGAAGAATCGACCGGTACATCTTTGCAAAATATTCACGCGGCGACAGTAAGACGAATGCCAGATACTTACCTCATTTATCACGCAGATCTCACCTCACATGCAAAGAACACCTATTTGTGTTTATTTTAGAATAATTTCTACGTTATTAACATAAGAAATAATTTACTCTAGCATCTGAATAATTTTATTACTTTTTTTGAAGCGAACGGTGCATGTTATTTAACAAAAAAAAAAAAAAAAAGGATGAAAAAATCATGTACGCCACTGCTCAGCACCTGACTCAGGATTGAATGCTGTTGTTGTGTTCTAGCTAATTGCGATAGATGAGATTTGTCAGTAATTTTTATATAATACCTCCCGTGACATGCAGGGTACCTGCACTTTCGGTATTCTGTCCACGAAAACGTCAGCATCAGCGAGGTTTGCAGCTTCAGTGCTCAATCCGGGAGCAACTAGAGATGAACACGAGCTTGAGTTATTGAGTTGCGTTGCCAAAATGCTTACACTGTACAAGTACAGATATTCCACGAAAAAAGGGTTCCAATTCTGCAAAAGTATCTGTCGAAGCCTATTTTAGCAATAAAAGTGTATGGAATATTGTAATTTTTAGTGTTTTACAGCGGGAGCCTATGGGTTCTACATAAAAAGAATAATTCACATTGCAGAGCCCAGAGCATCTACATGTATATGCCGCGAAAAGCACAATATATGATGTGTGTGTGTGTGTTTATCTTTTAGCATTGTTTGTCCTCAATTAATTTGCGGTCATTTTTCTTCTTTTTTCATACATGGCGATTTTTATCTAATAGTCCGTTAGTTACGGTGGCACAGTAACCCCCTAACCCCTGTAACGAATTTTAAAGGAGTACATGAGTATAAGAAAAATAATAACGCTTATGAAGCAACTTCCTTTGCTTTTCTATAACTCACGATACATCTACTTTAAAAATAGTGCTTTTTCATTATAAATAATGCGTACACATCATGCAGAATGTTAAACACAAAAGTTGAAATGCCGCATTTCAGAGCTTTTAAAACAACACCAAATTTGCAGAAATATTTGCTTTAGAAAGTTAGAATCTCATTTCTAATGAGAAAGGATCAAGTACATTTTATAAACACTATCCGATTGTTCAGCAATTGAATCTTGCGGATAATATCTAATGAAGAATGAATGGTTACCTAATCTCCGTTATGCAAACTTCCTTAACGAAATTTATGAATTGTGATAAAAACTTACTGAAGTGCATTCTGTGGGTTATTTCTATGGTGTCCTTGAGCCATATCCGATACAAGAACTATTTATAACGCCCACTGTTTATAGCATTATCCCCATATTAAAATATATGATATTTGTAATTCTATCAGAACATTTCGATTGTTACCTAGTTGTGCTTTACAGTGAGAGACAAAAACATAAAATGTTTTATCAAATTATTATTATTATTATTATTTTATTTATTTATTATATTTATTTATTTATTTATTTTTGTATTTGACGGTTGTGTCGATCTTATCTTTCTGATTTCATCCATGATAAGGAGTTTTCAGGACGGTCTTGACAACAAAAATGGTATTATATCAGACATCAGTACAGTGTAGTACTATACTAACAGCATAGCAGACACTTTTGCGCGGGAGCTCTAAGGACCTTCTACAGACAGCAACAATCATATACAGTAAATAATATTGTGGAATGGTGGTTTCCAATTTTACTATTTTCTACATATAATTACTATGCCTTGAAACTTTCATCAATGTTAATGTTTGCAAACACGTGTCGAACCTCAGTCTACTTAATAATTAATTGTAGGTTAAATTATTTCGCTTGCTTGGGGTAATTTTGATTTATCTTTATTGCCTACAGATGTGGACCCACATGTTTTATAGGATGGGGACAAATTTGTGACTTACAAATGCGGTATGACAGAGAAAGAAAAAAGCATCTAATGATCGTAAAGCTGCCTCTGACAAAGATGGGGAGTGTCACAGAAAAAGTTAATTTTCTGACGGTCACACTGAGCAATGAAATAAAGTCATGTTCAATATAAAAGTTTGTTTTGCCTGCGCAGTAAAATTATTCGGTAAGCGCCAAGGAAAGGGTCCAGTTCAATGGGTTGAGTGGAAGCGTAAAAAGATAGCAGAAAAGGCCGTAGGGCTTAAAGCATAGGAAGAAAGTCATCCAACAAGTACAATTATATGTTTAAACGGGCAACGACAAAAGACGAAATCTGTATTTGTTTTGAAACATTCTCAAGAAACAACAAGAACGTGTCAGCTTTTACAATGCATGTACTTTATGACATTTTGAATTCTTTAAATGGTAGGCCTACATGTAGTGTATTAATGATACATTTTACCTAACCTCCCTTATAACTGCTGTAACTCTCTAAAACTACTCCAAAATGTGGAATGCAAATTCTACAGACGCATAATCCAATATATTTGCGAATAAATAAGAAAGAGTGAAAAATTGGATGTTATACCTATGGCATGATTGAAATATAACTCAATATAAAGGTTACCCAACCTCCGTAACGAGAATAGTATACGCCTACTGTGTTTACACGTGAATGTTTCTTAAAGAGAAGTAAGGGTGTTGGTAAAAACTCTTCTGTCACTCTCTGAAAACCCCCTCTTTTGAATGTAAAAAGTTTTAAAGTTTTGCTAAGAATATAAAATCTGCATTTTTCGTTTTGTAATTGGAACCTTTTTCATGAAATGGCTGTATAATACCTTTTCCTGTTTTTTTTCTGCGTTCTTGAAATTAATTTGCATTGGTTGCCGTTTCCGAGACACTGAGCAGCTTTCAAGTCAAAGGGCAAAGATGGTAAAATTAGTAGGTAACGAATTGATAAAGTTCATTACAATATGTGCAGTCACATGTACAAAAATTATGCTATTACCCCTTAATGATATTGCTGCAAAGTATTTAAGATAAATCATTTAAGACGTCTTTATGACACTTATACTCGGGTCATACAAACGGGGACGTCGACATTACGGTTTTATATTCTAGTCATTGACACATTCCCACTACTGCTACATGCATGGGGCAGGCACGGATAAAGTGATGAAGTGCAGTTGCTACAATTCTAAGTTTTCTTTCTTGCGCTTGCCTCTTTCTTTTTAAAAGCTATTTATATGGGATTTACCGACCAAAATGAATATCCCTCGAGATAAAACCCAATTTTCTCCTACTGACGAACCATTGCTCACCCGTACCTGCACTTTGATTTAATGTTTTATTCAACTTTTAATTGAAGGGGTTAATTTCATATGGCTGGCAAGTCATTTAGAACACCTTGTCATCCTATACATGTATATTTCAGAAGGAACGATCGACTTAATGAGGGTTTTACAGTTTTAACACAATGGAAGATCTGGATTTTGGAAAGATGAGTAGCTGTGCAGGATATGTAGACAAGTAAAATATGACTGTGGGAAATTTTTATGTGCATACTTCTTCTTTGAGCGTCAATCCTGGTGCCGGCGTCGACGATCATGGTCCTCCACTTTATTCAGTTTTCAGTTGATTGGATGAGCTCGTTGCTGGACAGTCGTTGATTTGTTCACTGCATGAAAACTCAGCTTTTGTATATCCTGAAAGATGATCAAAAGGCCTTCTTTTATCCATCTTTTCACACCTTTCCTAATCCTTTCCCATTTTCAGGAAAAGCGTAAAAGACGATATTTTGTATGACTTTTATACACTCTTGCTCAAAAGGGTTGAATTTCGCCGTTTTTTTTCATTATAGTTATTTTTACCAAAATAATACCGTTTATATTGCTAAATGTGTGAAGCTGGAGGATTAGTAAAGTCAAAGAGAAACAACCAATGCAAATATAAGAAAAACTTTTTTTGCTCATACCCCTCAAAATGAGTATTTTTTTTACATAACAGTAACAAAGGAAAAAATAAACATAAGTTTGTACCTTCAGACTTCATTTATTAATCTCAGTAGCAGGAATGCCCACCTCAAGCTTGGATTATGGCCGCCAGACGGCGTTGCATATTGTGAACTAGAGTTACAGCTCTTTGTGGAGAAAATCTGGTCCACTCATCTTGAAGGGCATCTCGCAGTTGACCTACATTTGCAGGGGGAGGGTTTCTGAACAGCACTACCAAGTTCGTCTCACATGTGCTCAATTGGGTTTGCATCTGGGCTTCTTGCTGGCTGTGGCATCAGCTGAATGTTGTGTTGGCGGATATAGTCGGTAATTAAGCGGGCTGTGTGGGGAGTTGCATTTTCATGTTGCAATCTAAAATTGTCTCAGTATATCCCTTTTGCGAACGGCTCCAGACTCTGTTTGAGAATATCCCTGTATCTGGCAGCGTTAAGGTTTTCATCCAGAGGACGCAATGGGCAAATGCCGTTGCTGCAAATGGCACCCCATACATATGTACGGAACCACCTCCTTCGGCTATTGTTTCCTGGATATTTTCAGTCGACAGCCTCTCTCCGAGTCTACGCACTCTTCTGTCTGTTGGATACAGTAGAAAACGGGTCATTCTTCTGTCTGTTGGATACAGTAGAAAACGGGACTCTTCAGCAAACACCAAGTGATTCCAATGTTGGACCGTAAGGTTACGGTGCTGCCGCGTCCACTGCAGCCTGTTTGCTCGATGGGCAGGTGTCAAGCGTGGTTTCTTTGAAATTCTTGAAGCGTAGCCGTGCTCAAACAGCCTGCGGTTTACCGTCTGGCGAGACTATCGAGCCAAACGTTTGGCCTATAGTTCCAAGGCAATCGCTTTAGAAGATTTGGTCCGCTCTCTTCTTGCCAGATTGATGATGAAACGATCACTTTTGTCGTTTCCACTTCGCGGTCTTAGCAGGTGTCACATTTCCTGTCACAGTCCTTCTCCTCAAGATTCTATTCATAGTTTTCCTGTCCATATCCAAACGTCTAGCGATCTCGATTTGTTCTACGCCCCTCTGCATATGCAACCATTTGGTGTCGTATTATAATATCAGTAGGTCGCGGTATGGTCTCAGCAATGGGTAGACACAGTTACTAATATGCAAACCTCCGCGAAAACTGACAAAACATGACGAACGCATCCCACCCCACCAGCACTGTACTTAAACTCTGTGACATGTTTCACACACCCCAGGCACTCCAGTCATAACAAATGGAGAGTGATTGACTGAAAAGTGTTCATATTTCACTTACATGTTACGTAATGTCGTGCCAATTCAGGGGCGGATTTAGGCCGTCTTCTGGGTCTTCTGGAAGACGGTCAGATTTTCCAAGTTTACATTGATAGGTATCTATTTTTTTCTGTCGGAAGACGGTCAAAAATGGAGGATGGTAACAAAGATAATTTGGGAGACTGTCAGAAAAATCGCTGGATCCGCCCCTGCAATTGGTACATTGACTTTTTTTCGTACCAAGTGTTGCGTTTTAGAAATACGAGTAAAAAATCTCAAAAAGTTATTTTTGTACCAACCATTTTGGGCAATAATGTATAAGTGAAAAGGGATACAAATGGCCCACTTTTCTTTACCTTTTTCCTGCACTAACGTTGAACTTTCATACACCTTTTGCTGCAAAAAGACGATCTTTTGCCTGAAGAAAAGGTATTCTAAAGTTCACGGGCTTTTTGCATGCTAAAAGGTATATGAATGGCCGACTTTCCTCCACCTTTTCCTGCCAAAAAAGTCCAACTTTCAGATGCCTTTTGTGCAACTTTCCAGATACAAAAGATAAACCTTTCAAACCTTTTTATTTGTCCTACTTTGGTGACTTATTTAAATGTAATATTTCTTTTGGGGATTTAATAATATACTGATAAAACAGAACAACACATAGTATAAACTTTTATCATTTATTCCTTTACAACATGTTTGTGCAGGTTGCACTTGTATTTTGAAAGTTTTTTGATAATCCAAGGAAATTTGATTTTTTTGTTTTGAAAATCCAAGAAAGGTCCATGAAATGTTCTTTAAATGTACTCTGTGCAAGATGCCCAAGTCCTACTATATAGGCATAACTTCCCCCTCTCGTGGGAGTACTTTTCCTGGAATCATCTGTCAAGTGAACGCTTTGCCTGTCCAAATCTTTGCCTTTTGCCTCCAAAAAATAGGATCTATTTAATGACAAATTTTGCTTCGGGTAACAGTTCATTTAAATGATAATCTAATACGATATAAGAATGTCAACTTTTATGATATTTAAATTATTTTTCAAACTATGCACTTAAAAAGGTCCTACATTAGTACTTTCTTCCTTTCATATATTTTGTTTTAGTCCGTCCAGTCCGTTTGCTTGTTTTAGAACATTCTCCTTCTTTTCAGACATGTAGTATCTTTTAATGGCACATGGTTAAGAAGTAAAGAGAGTGAATTATTTGAGTGTAATATTATGCACAGAGTTTTAATTTGGGAAAACATGAATAATGAAATAACTACATGTAATGATGAAAATTTGCATTCATGATTACTGCTAGGCAACTTGAATTGGCCTTGCACAGTAGGACAAGTGAACTTAGACAAGGTTAAAAAAGGGTCCTGTAATACACACCTCGTTCTTTTCCTCCAAAATTGTGTGTCTTAGTCTATCCACTTTGTTTGCTTTTTTGATGATTTGTTACGAGGTTATTAGCTTCGTTACTATTAATGAAAGGAGTCAGTTCTCGGAATATACTTTATTTTATTTATGAAGTGCAGCTTACAAGATTTCTAAGTGCCAACTTCAACCCTTTAAGTCACTGCTCTCACGAGTTGCTGATCCTCAGATGTTTTAGCACTTGAGCTTTTTGGAACTTAACTAACTCTTACTTATTGAACAATGCTGATTGCATGGGCAATACGTACGTGAAATCATCAAACCTAAATGCTGGATTACATGAGATTGGTTATACAGATCATTTACGACATGCAGCTAATATCTTTACCTTATTATGTATAATGTGATGCAGGAGGCAGGTCATCGTTTTTGCTTTATAGGTATCAATGTCCAAATTTCCATAACTAATTGTCACGCCTCAAAAATGAAACATGACTTCACAAGTTAAATGCAAAGACGATCATCCGGTGCACGATACAGTGCATAGGGTCAGATAGTACACGGTATATCGAAGATGGGTTTTCTAATTTAAAATTTTCATTTTAAACGTTATGTTACCCCGTGACACTTCTCTGACATGTAGTTGGCCTGCGTTTTAAATTTCTGGTAAAGAAATAAAGTCTTTAAGAGAGTGAATTCTTTAAGTATTATATCATACAGTTTTCATTCATGAAAATATGAATGCTCAAATAACTACATATAATGATGAAGACATTCATGAATACTGCTCGACGACTGAGCAAATCTTGTCAGGGTTCATACAGCAACATAAAAACAAATTCAAGAACTTCTGAGGCTCTAATTCAAGAAAATTTCAATGATTTTTGAATGCGATTTACTGTCATTTATAAGTTTACATACAAAAAAGGTGCATTATTACATACAAACTTTGTATTTTAATACACCAATGATGAAACATGAGAAAATGAAATGAAAAGATTAAAAAAGGACATTCCACCAGCACGCTATGGCCTATATTCAGGTTAGAAAAAAAAAAAAAGAAAAAGATTTGAAATAATTTGGACTGATTAAGGACTGCTGACAGTGTAAAGGAGAATACTGAGGAGATTGTAGAGCTATTCTCTGACGATATGGCTACGAGACAGTTTTACATGAAAGAAATTTCAAAATATTTACTTAGGCTGAATTCTATGCAAAGTGTATGATGCTGATGCCTTAGTTACGTTTTAAAAGCAAAGCTAGACAAATCAAGAAAATTTTACAACAATACAACTTTGCAAACCAGCAAGCCTTGTTTATAGTCAGGTTTTATTGCGCATTTTGGGCAGACCTGCTGATCACTGCAGTAAAAACGACATATCAAATAAAATGAATTAATGTTCGCAGGCGGGCTGATATAAACTATGCATGGCATTGTGACATCAGTCACCCTGTGTTTTAAAGTTCACACATGGGTTGCGATGTAGGCCTACTCAGCGACAACAATTGGCAGGCCTAAAATAATATTCAGATAAAGTCATGCCTTTTAAAAAGAAAATAAAAAATAAAGAAAAACCTCTCAATACTAACATCAGCATTTAAGATAGCTGCAAGGAGGTTGCACGTATCCGCATACCTAACGATACAAATGATCACGGATACCTGCTGGCGTAGGAATACACTGGAATTTTACGCATGTAAGCAAACATCATTTACCCTTGAATGTCATGTATCAACATTATACACTCATATCAATTATTGCTATTAAAATAAAATCATCTATTTTATGCACATCAACCATGTGATAGTCTAATTACTAACAGACAAATGCGGTGTTATATCGCGACGTTTTGGAACATTCACAGGAATAGAGTAATGCGGTCTTGTCGTCCATGTTTTGCAAGTGAATGTCGGAACTCGGATTAAATAATACGATCAAACGACAGTCGATCGCAAACCTGCCGATGGTTGACAGTTTTTGAGAAGACTTAGAGTCCATGCCGTTGGGTTCTTGAAGACAATATGAGCTCCCTCCTCCCATTCCCACCAGCAATTGTCAAGCGCCTACTGGGTTGGAAGAAGGGGGATAGCGCCGACCGCGAAGATAAGTGGTCGGAAAAAGCAGTCAAAAGTTTAGTCAAGAAACTCAAAAAGACCGGAGGACTGGATGAGCTCCAAAAGGCAATCACAACACAGGATCAGAATACAAAGTGCATCACGATCCCCAGGTAAGCTGTATGTACATCTCTACTTGTATCTTAATCTAAGAAGCATGCCTCATTCAAAATGGCGGAGGCGGAATTAATGAATTAATGTCCTCTACTACTTGCGTAATAAAATTGAGTAACACAGCATTTTCCCCGAGTATTTATTGTCTTATGCCGTACTTTGGCCCGAGAGATTGACACTTAGTCCGTCTGAGTGCTTTGTTTACTAAATAGAATTAGGGCTGAAGGCGAAAAAAACGAGAATGCTTCAGAAGGGCAAGTTATAAAATATTATGAAAATGTAAATCAAGGTAATAGCTGGTGCTGGTGAACAATGCATGTATGTATTGCTGTTGAGATTGTGAAAGAACATAGAACTCCTGGTGCAAGTAATGCCAGTCAAAATAAATAGTTGGTGTAGGAGGTAGAATGAATTGTCTGTTTGTACATGAGTGGAGAGGGACATTGCTGTTGCTGTCACCTTGCACTTGTTACGCTTAGACACCATAAACAAAAGAATGTGTAAATTATTCAGTGTGGACTCACAGAAATGGTTCATAGGACTTAAATATAGCTTGGATTTGAAAGTCAACTTGATCAGATAATTTTCTTGAAGTTTTGAAGTATATTTTCTATGAATTTTTAATTTTTTTACACATAGGCATTTTCAAGGCATGAGTTTGAATCTAGGTCTGAAGCCTAAAGCTTATTTAGAAGTAGGGCATAATTAAAAAGTTCATGATAAAAGTTAGGGAGAGGGGGAATAAATGTTTGAAAGGCCTAAATGGCAAAATAGTTTTCTCTTTTTTTTTTTTTTTTTTTTTTTTTTTGTGTGAAATACATAATCTTTATATTATTGAAATAAAAATGAACACTTTTGAAGCACTAACTCCCTTTTTTTTTTATTCACCAGCCCACTCAATTTTGTACATAGTTCATTTGCACAAAGTTCATGTGTCAGTACCCATCACTAAAATGGCGAACCTCATAGCAAGCACAGTGATTGCGAAAGCCGTCGGACCACGGCCATATGCCGGCAAAAGTTCTGTGGGCTGGAAAACCCTTTTAACTCATCGGCCCACATGTCCGACGGACTAAAGTCAGTTTCTTTAACAGATACCTCGCCTCATATTTGAATTTATCGTAAAGCTCTAAGTACGCACTATTCGCAAGTAAAACTTTAACTTGCGCCATATAATACTGGCGCGTTTTGTAATAAAGGTNGAAAATAGACATTGCATGTGAACGAAGCCTTAGACACCATAAACAAAAGAATGTGTAAATTATTCAGTGTGGACTCACAGAAATGGTTCATAGGACTTAAATATAGCTTGGATTTGAAAGTCAACTTGATCAGATAATTTTCTTGAAGTTTTGAAGTATATTTTCTATGAATTTTTAATTTTTTTACACATAGGCATTTTCAAGGCATGAGTTTGAATCTAGGTCTGAAGCCTAAAGCTTATTTCATAAGAACGCTTTTTGAAGTAGGGCATAATTAAAAAGTTCATGATAAAAGTTAGGGAGAGGGGGAATAAATGTTTGAAAGGCCTAAATGGCAAAATAGTTTTCTCTATTTTTTTTTTTTTTTTTTTTGTGTGTGAAATACATAATCTTTATATTATTGAAATAAAAATGAACACTTTTGAAGCACTAACTCCCCTTTTTTTTTTATTCACCAGCCCACTCAATTTTGTACATAGTTCATTTGCACAAAGTTCATGTGTCAGTACCCATCACTAAAATGGCGAACCTCATAGCAAGCATAATAAGGATTATTTTGGTGAAAGAATCCGTGTCCCCCAAATTTCATAATAGGGTGCCGACTGTCTCCAAGTTTCTAAAACCAAGATGTAACACTGGATATGTAGTGCATGTGCTAACTCAGGAAATTAAAGACCTCAACATGTGTAAGTGATGACCAACTTGCATATCCGCTGTGATATAGGAGCTATCAGATCTTTGTCTTACCTTTCATCTCTCTAGCCTCTTCCATGGCATTTGATTGATTTTTCATAAGATATTCACAGATATTGTTTTAGATAAATAGACCGTCATTTGGTTCTCTGCCTATAATATCTGCCACCCTGGTAGAGGGTATCATCTCTCCAACTTACCCACTCCTGTAATGCCAACCATTAATGTAAGATTCATCCGCTTGTCTGTAAGTTATGTCGCTGCGGAATCATAAGAACACAATTGACAGGGCAATGGCCACAATGAAGTGCAAGAGAAAGGTTGGAAATTTTTTCCTGCCTAAAACAAACTTTCAAATATTACAACGGCCATGGAACTTCTTTTGTACTGGTGGGAAAAAAATATATCATCATTTGACATACCTCTAACAATCAGAAATATGTTTTTGGTTTTTCTTTTGGGGGGTTTTAATATCAAAACAACTATATTGGTACATACCATGAACAATCTTACTTATGGCTTTGTTGACCTTACAGGATTGTGCAAGTTGAGGAGATGAGAGGTAAAATAAAGATTGAAGGGCTCCTACATCATGTAAAACTGTGCACTTTTCATAACTGCACTATGGAACAGCATTACTTTAATCTATCTTTTATACTATTTCTGTCTGGGGCTACATCCTGTAATAGATAAAAATGAGAAATTGGACTAAAGATCCCTTAATATTAGTGGTAGGCATGCATTAATTTTTTGAAGTTATGACTCTTTAATTTCATATGATAGTCACCTTACTATTATATGATTATACAAATGATGATTTACGTTTAATAGAATAATGAGAATGATGAACAACTGATGTTAGATATTGTACAGAGCTTCATTAATAAGGATACGAGGCCATTTGATTAAAAATGATTATAAATATTGAACAGTAAAACTATCTGGTCCCCATTAAATATGTGTAGAGAATGTTTGTATATCTTTGCTCAACCTTTGTCGACCAGACCTTGACCCCACACATATTTACTCAGTGAATCTTGTAGGTCCCTAGACGGACGTTTACAAGTATCGCATCGTAAGGGTTTGCCACACGTCATCTATGCACGACTCTGGAGGTGGCCAGACCTGCAGAACCACCACGAGCTACGAGCTATTGACACATGCGAGTATGCTTTCCACTTGAAGCGGGACGAAGTTTGCGTGAATCCTTACCATTACTCGAGGGTTGAAACACCAGGTAATTTTTAATTTTTTTTCTAGCTATTTATGATCAAAAATGGTGTCACGTACAGACAGATTGTACCTGTAAATTGTAGCCATCACCAATGGTTAGCTGTTCCCCTTAGTACCCTCAAACTACTGTTTTAGTTACATTTTCTTTATGTCTAGCGGACTTTGGGTGCATAAAAAAAAAATTGCTATGAAACATAATTTTGTTTTAGAATTGTCAAAATAACTTACTTTGTATATCTTTTTTATGTACAGACATAGATGTGTATGTACATATAGCTGTCGCCTGCGTCTGTCGTCACTGCCGCTGTTGCCATGCACTTTCAACGATAACACAAGTGGAAAACCATTTTACCTTTTGGCTTGAAACTTACAGAACTGATGAATATTCATAATTCACAGGTTAAGTTAAAAAATCAGCATGATTGGGCCTCTTTCTTAAAAGGTATGATTTTTTTCCCCTTTTTTTTCAGCATACATGCAACACTGATAACACATTTAAGGGAAAACCATATTGGCCTATCATCTTGAAATTCTCAGGAATGAACAGTCTTACTTAAATTCAGGTCGAGTTTGAAAAGCAATGCCTTGTTTTGTATATGAGTGACTTTTTCTCAGAATCAATTCTAAGGCATGTTAACAGTCTCATTATTGAACTAATCAGATAATTCAAAGTGTTCTTTTGACAAGTTCTACATCTTAACAACATTGTTAGTTGATAATATGAATATGTTGGTAAACCTGTTATCATGTATTGTGTTTTAAAGTGTTAAAAATGGAAATAAACTCATATCATTGCAGTTTGTCAGATTCAATCATTCACTATGTTCAGAATCTCAGAATGGAGCAAACAGGACATGTAAAACTGTTCTGTTGATATTTTTCCTATGTCATCAATTTTCTTAGTTGATTATATGAAAATGACAGTAAACTGATTATTTTTGTTTTATGTAAAAAAGGTGTTGAAAATGGAAATAAAATCATTTCAGTACATTTATCTCGTTTACATTTTGGCATTTTCAAGGTTTGACTCTGAACTTCCATGGCTTTGAACACTTTTGCTTGTCACATTTTCTGAATATATATGATACTTTTATCTAAAATTGATGGTCATTATGCTGTTAAGTATTATGTAATATTTTATCAAAAATGAAGAAAACCCTATTTTTGGCACTGCCTCCATAGTGACCATTAGAGGAAAACAGTGTCACTTATTTTCTCAAACTTACAGAAAAGTAGCTTAGGACTAAAATATAGCTTCAATTGGAAAACCTGTCTTATTGGTTAACTTTTCTGGAAATTTTGTAGTTTTTTGTCAGAATTAAAATTTTCACATATCGACATTTTCAAGGTGTGACTTTGAACTTCCATGGGCTGTGAAGACCTTTGCTAGTCACATTTTCTGAATGTCCTTGATACTTAAATTTTATTGTTGAAATTAATGGTCATTATGCTGTTAAGCATTATATAATATTGCATCAAAATTAAAGAAAACCCTATTTTGGGAACTGCCTCCATAGTGACCATTAAAAAAATCCTTGTCATTTACTCTTCTTAAAGTTACAGGAAAGAAACACAGGAGTAAAATGCAGCCTGGGTTGGAAAAGCACTTTGCAGTCTAAGTGGCTTCTTTTTCTGTCGTACATTTTTGTGAAATTGTTATCTTTCAAATATTGGCATTTTCATTGTGGGACTTGGAACTCCCATGGGCATGAACCCCAGTGGCAATCAAATTTTCAAAATGACCGTGTTATTATTAGAAGATTATTAAAAATTGGTGTTAATTATATAGTTAATCATTGAGTAATATTGCTTCAAAATTGACAAAAAGCCTACTTGGTGCACTGTCATCACAAATGTTATGCTAAAAAGAAAACTGTGTTACTTAATTATTTTTTTTTACTTACAAGAATGATTCTTAGGATTGACATATAGCTCAAATTACAAAACCAGCTCTATTGGATTATCTTTTTTTATTGAATTAATGCAATTTTTTGTGAAATTTTCATTTTTCTCATTCTGGCATTTTCTAAGTGTGAACTTGAACTCTCATGGGCCTGAAGTCTTATGCTTTAACTTTCATCAGTATTACCTGTTGTGCATAATTAAAGTTTGATGTTGACTTTGCATTTAAGCATAATGTATTATGGCATCAGAATTGACAGTATCCTATTTTGTGCATTATTATTTTCTGCTTTTTGTCTGTACATTTGACAGCTTTGCTGCCTTATTTTTTTATCTTATTTTTTTTTTTTTTTTGCTTTATATCTGTACATTTGAAAGCTTTGCTGCCTTGTTTTGTGTCATATTATCACAATAAAAGCCTTCCAACTGGTGGTACATGTCAAGGAGGAAGTATTGCCTCCCTGACCATGTAGTTAATAACCATAGAAAAAATGTGTTGAATGAATCCGTGTATTTATTATTTTTTTACAGTGCTTCCGCCAGTGCTTGTGCCACGTCAAACAGGAGAAATCCCAGCAGATTTTCAACCTCCAATTGACGACTACTCAAATACAGTGCCTGAAAACATTGATTTTCCTGCAGGCGTCAGCGAATCTTCTTTTCAATTACCAGGTAGGCTTTTTGTTGCCCTTGTTGTCGTGGATATTTTTGCATTTTTAGTATATCTAAAGTCATGCCAAGTTATCTCTGCTATGTTATGATGCACTTTCAGACTCACTGAAATGACCTGTCCTTTCTTCACTTCTAGTTCTACTTCTAGATGCTGAAAGAGAAAGAAAAGCAATATTTCCAAAATAGATATTATGTGTTCCTGCACAGATTAACATAAAAAAAAGATCTACAAAAATGAAATAACTAGGTCAACCACATAGTCAACATCCAAATATTGAAATGAAATATATAAATATATGTTAGAAATATTTACTAAAATGTAATATATGCTGTAACTATATATTGTAAGAAGTAATTTCTGAAATATTGCCCTTTCCTATTGTGTGTGTTTGTGTGTAATAGTGCATCTGTGATCTGTCCTTTCTTGGTGCTCACCTGGGGATCATTCTAAACTCAGACAGCCCAAAAAATATAATATTTAGTACTACTACAGTGATAAAGTAAATAAATAATAATTATTAGTATTATTATAATGACAATGAATATCTTCCAGAGACCCCTCCCCCAGGCTACATGAGTGAAGAAGGGGACAATAATGAAAACAGCCAAGGAATGGGTGAGTAGATGCAACCACATATCTGATACCCCATTCACACTACAGCCATTTATCCAAATAAATAGTGAATTAGGTCCTGATTTTAATAATTGCAGTAGTCTGAACACATGAGGATTCTGGTTAACCATTTTCTCAAAATTTTGCTAGCATGCTGGATTTTCTTAAGCAATTCGAATTACTTGCCGAAACCTCTGGGTAATATACCACCCAATCTTACATCTCTGGTTGAATTAAACAACATGGATTTGTTTAATGTGAAAAAAAATCTAAATGCCATTTTATTCACCAGTTGCAATCAAAATGTTACGTGCATATTATGTGCACCTAACCAATGTATTATATATATCTGCATGTCCACAATACTGGATAACAACATTGGGGCAACATGGCACTGATCTTGTTAGCATGCTTTCCACTTAGAATATGCATCATATTTTGCTTTATATTCATAAATTTTGAAAAATGTAACATTTAACACATACAAAAATGATTAGGAAAGAGTGCAGTTAATTTCACAGAGATGCGATCCTGAATTAGCGGTTTAACAGCGATGACATGAAATCGTCTCTTGTGTGCACGCCTTTCGTTTATTATATACATTGTATTTTGCTTCATATTCATAAAGTTGGTAAAATATGACATTAAACACATACAAAAATTATCAGGGAAGAGTACACTTAACTTCACATTTTCTTACACATTGTTGTTTTATGAAAAGCAGAGTGTATTTCAGGTATTTAAATCCTGAAATTGAATGATTTGTGTAGTTCACGTGTATGTTCACTTTGTACTGAAGTTTAAAATGGAAACCATAGTAATGCACAACAACCCGTTTTCCTCACCCATCAAAATTTGTGAGGAAGAGCAATTTTTGTTTTTCTCTAGTGTGTGTGCCATAAATGATCCCTGAGATGACAAAAACACATGACAATACTTTTCTGAAAGCTTTCTTTTCCATAATGTACAGCTGTAAAACAGACTGGTATGTCTGTGTCCTACATTTAAGCGCTGTTTTAGTGTCATTTTAGGCTGAGAATTAAAAAGTTTAAAATACACAACAATATTTGGAAACATAAATTACTTGTTGTAATAAGACAAATCTATCCCCTTTCACATGAAAGCACTCCCATTGTAATCCAATGCATAAGAATATTTTGACAGACTTTCAAAGATGATCACCCACTGCTGTTACCCAGTATTGTGGACGTGCAGATATGGAAATGGTCACATGACCAGCAAAATGGATAAGTAAAGTGTTTGTCAAACTTGCAGAAAACCTAGTAAAACGTTGGTGTCGAAACATTAGTTTTAAGGGAAAAAACAAGACAAACACAGCACACTCGGAAGCAATCTGGTTTACTGTGCTCATGGGACAGAAAAAAATTACTGTTTAAAATTACTGTTTAATTACTGTTTAACATTGAAGACCGGTTTAAGTCATTAATTTGGCAGTGGAAATCACATATCTGCAACTCCAAGTCAAGAATGGCAATTTCATTTATAAGGCTTGTACATATCATACTTATGATCTTTTCCTTTCTGACATTCAAATGAGAAATTTTGTTTTTCTTTTGAATATGGGGAATGAAAAAATACTTGTGTGATGTGGACACTAGTATAAAAATGGGTTCTATACTGTACTTATGTTCCTAGCATGTCCATCAGTATTTTATACATTTTTGTCACTTTTATTTCATTTAGATGGAGTGGATCAGATCCCAGCCAGCCCTTCTATGGGTAAGTTTTTACTTAATATTTTTTAATGCATTATAACATTAAAGCAATACTTATACTACACAGTGAAAGACAGCACGCCTTCCCCACAACATTCATTCAATGGGGAAAAATTCTTACAAATAATAAAATGAAATACATGTAGATTTAAATTTAAGTAGGGAGAGAGAACCATAGTAGGCTATGTTGCTTTTTGTAGCAATCATTGTTGTACAGCAATTTTTTTGGACTCAAGTATTTAAAATACCAGCTATGCCACCTTGAAATTAAACAGTCCAATAAATAAAGAAATAAATAAATAAATAAATAAATGGACTTCTGCACTTAAGTTGTAGGTCAAAAAATGATGCAACTTGTTTCTTGGAAGCAACATATTGCACAGAATCAAGTGCATTATTAGATGCATGGGCATTAAGTGACTGTATATTTACAACCTTTGGTGTCTTGTTTGTATATGTGCCATCTGCAATGTGTATTTCCTTTTTTCGTCTTTTATATGTAGATTTGGAACCAGTGACATATACTGAACCCACCCACTGGTGTTCCATATCCTATTATGAGATGAACACACGTGTTGGGGAGACATTTCATGCCTCTCAGCCCTCACTGACTGTGGATGGTTTCACTGATCCTTCCAACTCCGAACGGTTCTGCCTTGGTCTGTTGTCGAATGTGAACAGAACACAGCAAGTGGAGATGACAAGACGGCATATAGGTGAGCATTTCTATGTTTTCTAAGTAAAATGGTTGTGTGTGAAAGCTTTGTTGATAGGTTTGTTTAAGTGTTTATGTAGAGACAAGTCTATCCCCTTTCACATGACAGCACTCCCATTGTAATCCAATGCATATTTTATACTATATTTCAGAATTTTCAGCATATATTATACTATATGCAATACAGATAACACATAAAGTGAAAAACTGATTGATCTATTGTCTTCAAACTTATAAGAGTGATCAATATTTCTTGAATACAGGTCAAGTTCGAAGGCAAGGCTGATCTGATTATTTTTCCAAATGATCATGTAAAATTGCATCAAATTGACAAAATAACGTATTTTGTACATCATTAGTGACTTTTATGTTTTGTACATTTTACAGCTTTGCTGCTTGCTTTGTTTTGCTCAGACAATCTTGGCATAATGCATTACTCGACAAAGTGCTTGCAGCACTCAATTCAAAAGTCACTTCACTAGCATGGTAGCCTGTAGAGTTTTACCCAACCATTTTGTTTCTTGCAGGCAAAGGAGTTCGATTGTACTACATAGGAGGGGAGGTGTTTGCAGAATGTCTCAGTGAGAGTGCAGTATTTGTGCAAAGTCCTAATTGTAACCAGAGATATGGATGGCATCCTGCCACTGTCTGCAAGATACCACCAGGTAAAGGGTAGAAGACATGGTCCTAAGAAGTCAGGGGCCACAAGCATACATACAAAATAAAATTTATGATCAAAATTATATGTCTAATATTCATCTTCCTCAGTTATCAGAATTCTTGGCATTTTGGTTTGCTTACATAATATAGAGCCCACATTATGTGTTCAATTTCTCCATGAGTCCTGAACTGGATCTCTTCTACCATTATTGTTAGGTTGCAATTTGAAGATCTTCAACAACCAAGAGTTTGCTGCCCTGCTGGCTCAGTCAGTTAACCAGGGGTTTGAATCTGTTTACCAACTCACACGCATGTGTACCATAAGGATGAGCTTTGTGAAAGGCTGGGGAGCCGAGTATAGGTAAAGTGATAATTTGGTGTACAATAAAATTAGTTTGAAGATAAAGATTGAGATGAAAAGTACAGTTTTTATGATAAATTTCTGAACTAAAATATGTCAATAGGCATAGGATTTTGCCATCTTTGCACATCGTTTATGGGGCTTTTATAAACTGGAGGAGTGAATAAATTGGTCAATTTATGACCAAAAATTTGAAAAAGGTGCAGCTTTTAAGCTTATTTTTAGCAGAACGAGGGACTAATTTCTGTGACCTGGCAATTTTAGTTGCATAAGAAACTGGTGGAAGTGGCTTATATGCGTTACTGGGAATCCTTTTTTTTTTAATTTGTCTATCACATTCTTGTAAATGGAGTTCTATTATAGTGGTATATGAAATACTGGAATTCTGTCCCATTTTCAGGCGTCAGACAGTGACAAGCACCCCGTGCTGGATAGAGATTCACCTAAATGGTCCTCTTCAGTGGCTGGACAAAGTTCTCACTCAGATGGGCTCTCCTCGCCTACCCTGCTCAAGTATGTCATAGAATGGTGCAAAACAGTAGGCTGGAAAAGACTGGAAACAGCACGGCAAGGTTCATAGACCAAAGGTCAAAGACCTAGTAAATAGGAGACTGCACAAATGCTCTGAACTTAGGAATGAAGGAAGAGTGTGAACAATTTTTTTTTGTCAAAGACACCTCGACTCTGAAGTACCAAAGCATGTATGCATTCAAATGGTGACCTTGCACTGATTCCACCACGACCTTATATAGATGCACTGTGACCTCATACATAATCATTGTGACCTCATGTCAATTTACTGTGACCTCATACAGAACCAATTTTATCTGGAGATCCTGTGACCTCTTGCAGTTTTCACTGTGACCTTGAGCAAAAATTTACTGTGACCTTGTACAGCTTTATATATGCACGGCAGTACTCGACTGTAATCCAGTACAGTAGAAAAGAGCATTATCGTGTAGCTGCAGAGCACGTTATCCATGTTGCAGTATAATAGAATATGGAAAATTAGCCAGCATTTGACTGGAACATATTTTGCTACTCTACGCTGTTCTTATTATCAGATGGAAAAAATGTACCATGTAGAGCTGTCAGACCTTCATCCATACAATATAAAAAAACTCTGAATGGCTATATATACTATATATATGTATATAAAAAAGTCTTTTAGGAAAAAAGAAGACTAACAGCATGGTACATGAAGATTCTTGTGTCTCTTGTGTGCTTCACAAATCAGAATACAAGGGAGCAACTTGAGTCAAAGCAGTAGTGAATGATCCAGGTTTCAGAATATCAGTGCTTGGCGAAACTAGATAGGTCTTGAGTGGAAACTGTTTAAAGATGGATATACATCAATTAATGGGTCTCAGAATGAGAGAACAAGTAGTGAAGTAGTAGTAGGTAGCATAATAATGTAAAAGCTACAACAGGAGGACACAGTGCAAAACAAAAGTTTTGTACCATCACCACCACCATGTGTGAGGCAAAGGTCATGAATGTTATTCTTCAAGAAATTCCTCAAGAAATGGCCATATCACATCCCTGCATATGATGATTTTGGGAATTCCCCAGATTCCAGAGGATTCAGTTTTACCCCAGTGATATCACCGACTTGAAGGAATAAGACACCATGCCAAGGCTGGAGTTGTTTACAGTGAATATTGTGCATTATGAACCACATTCTTAGAAGTGTAGGACAGCACGGACTGCAGGGTACTAATGTGCTAGTAGTGAGGAGCTGCAGTGCCCCCAGTATTGTCTCCTGGCCCAGGCCTAGCGTGGAGAGGGAGCCGTTACTATAAAATAATTGTGATATAGCGAGAGAGACTGAGAGAATGCGAATGTAAAGAAAACAAGTAGAAAGAGAAGACCTGTAGTTTGTAATCAAAACTTTTTTATCGAAATGTTTTTAAATGATGATCAGGATTTTTTAATTATTTACGTATATTTTTTTGTCATCAGACAACCGGTGAGGAACTACAGTACTAGTGTTACTGGAAGGTTAACTGTAACGTACCACTGCCATACACAGGAACTGTAATAATAGCTCTTACATGAAAATGTATAAAATAAAGTAAATTGAGATATTTCTATTATACCCCCAACATTATATTCTGATATATCAGTTCCAGTTTTTGGAAACTTCAGTGGGACAGATGCTGGACACTGTATTAGCATGGGCTTTTACAAAATAAACTTGCATACAAATAGTTTATGACAGCTTCAAAGCAGTTAATGCTAAAATAGAATTAAACATAAATTTACCAGACTTGGACACACTGAAACGACCATAACAGGATATGTATTCACCATTTTTATGGACAGACACTGTGTCTAGACATAAAGTCACCATTGTGACTGGGCGTGTATTGCCATGTGATGATCTCCCCCCCCCCCCCCCCTCCCCCCACTTGATGGTTTAATAGTTAACTGAGGTACTGGTACATTTACACGCGACAGCCATTATATGCCAATATTGCAAACTTGTCCCTTTTCTGTGCCTAATCAAGTTGGTGTTACATACCCAGGAGGCAGTATTGCCTCTCTGGTCCTCTAGTTTTCTTGAAATTGTGAAATAATTTTGTCAATTTCTCATTTTTCAAACACTGACATTTTCAAGGTGTGACTTAGGGTGCATTCCCAGAGATATAGATTGATCCAAAGATTTAGATTTAGATCGACCTAACTACCTGGGGGTTCACGCTAAATTGCAGTCAGCCGAGCGCGCACCATAGTTAATTACCCCCTTACAGCTTTTAGTAGGCGGGACAGACGCTTAAGCCGGCTAAGCTGACAGTAATCTAGTGAGACTCCCCACAGGGATAGATCGATCTAAAATCTATGGGAATGGGGTCTTAGAACTCCCATGGACCTGAAACCCTGTTCTAGTGATTTTCTAAAGGACTACAGTAAGGGTAGTGCATATTTAAAAATTGGTGGTAATTACAGAGAATTTCATCTGTTAAAAGAATAATGTAATTTCTCTTCAATCAGGGAATGGCTCTATCCACTGAATTCACCTGGATAGCCTCATTCCTTGATAAAGATGCTCTGAAAGACGTCAAAATATTGTAGGAAAGACAAGCTGTCAATATTAACTGTTGATTGAAGAAAATTACTTTATTCTTGGTGGTAAGTACACTGTTGTATTACATAATATTGAGTTGGGTTTTTTTTCTTGTTTCAATAATGCTATCAATTATTTTGGCTCTGTACTTCTAGTACTAGTTAGGTGTATGATATCACGACTAAAAATTTGCATGTTGGTCACTTTCATATATATTTATAGTGTTAAAGATTGTCTGTTCATGTCAGCTGTATGTGGCTGGTTATTCTGATTGCTTATAATATTGATATTTACTTTCCTAACTAAAAGGATCATGTGGAGGCAAAGCCTATATTGCCATGCACTATTATGCCAATTGTGTCTCTACAGTTTAGGTTTTTTTATATAACATATCAGGTGTCATTTTCAGCACAGTGTTCTAAAAACCAGTGTTGCAACCACTGATCCAGGGTTTTGCTAAGAGGCTACACAAGGGGAAAATTGCTTCATTTCACTGAGCAAATAAAATATTTGATAAGGAAAATTCAACAGTAATATGTAAGGCATAGGGATGAAAAAAAGTGTTTTGTCCCATTTTGTTTTACCATTGACAGCAAACGCCAAGACTGCTTATTTTGTCACACCTTGGACAATCAGAAGTATGTATGAAAAATGTACTGAATCACAGGCTCTGTTGTGTGATTTACAAAAACTTTGGGTGGCTACATCCAGTGACAAGCAAGAAAAAGGAATTGGAATCCACTCATTTACCAGTGATCTGATTTGTGAAGTGCATTTGATTGAAAAAAATTATTTTATTACTCTCACGTAAGATGGAGACAATGTGCAAAAGGAAGTAACCACAAATGTGACCCAAAACCATATGTGGACATGCGGCATTTGATCTTACAGAGTCCAGTTAAGTTTTTTTTTTAATTTTTTTAATATGACAAAACAGCATTGCATTTTACATCCTTGATTTGGTAAGGTTTTGTGAAAAAGCCAAAATCACTGTTTTCTTTGTAAAAAGAGGGGTTTCAAAAATTCCAGGCACCTTTGGTAAGTCACATGGTCCTTTTGTTATTATCTCTCTGTTCATTAGAACCAGTGAAATTAGAATTAATGAAATTGGGTACACTCTCAGCCTGTTACATTTCTGTCCCATTTACTTCCATGATACACCCAACTTTTAAACTGCTTGTTATGTTTATGACATAGATGGAGTGAGCCTAAGTCAGAACGGGTATAAACGGAAGCATTTACAGCAAAGCCATCTGTTAAGTGCCATGCTATTCAAAGGTTAAGTAAACATTTTGCAGAGCAGAATGCAGTATTTACTACCTGTTAAAGGTAATTGAAGTAATGTTACTGGAAACAATGGTGTTCAATATTATCACATTACATCTAATAAGTAATGACTAAGTGGATAAAAGATAAAAAGAAAATGACTGTTCTTTCTTTAAATGTGTCATCAAACAAATTTTGAATGTAAAGGGTTCTCTATTTAAGGTGATGACAGTTCTATCCATATCTGATTAATAGAATATTAAAAAAAAAATGACAAAGATGCAGATAAAAAAATTCAAAGCTAATGAAAGGTAGCATGGAGTTAGCAGTATGGAAGATGTTCATCATTTGTGAAGGTATTTACAGACAAGATAATGCAAATTTATCATGATAGGTCCATTTAACATCAGCCAAAGATTGGAATATTACCTCTCCAATGGTTCAATGTATTGCTCCACGCCTTTAAGAAATGAAGTTACAGATTTTATAATGGTCTCTACCAAGGGGTGCAGTTTGTCTTCCCTCCCCCTATATTACTTCTGTAGATGAATGGAGGTCAGAGAACGAGGCTCCATGGTTTCTGCTTCAACTAGATTTTTGTATCTTTGTATATATCACCACTAGGACTTTTCGGTTCTGTTCTCTGGGTTCAGTATCTGTTTTTTTTTTTTTGTTTTTTTTTTCAACAATATATTTACTAGGTATCTTTTGTCCCTGTGTTGGCTCAGTGATGATTTACTGTGCCTGTTGTTTGTTGATTTTTTGGTGTTCTGTTGCCCTTCCCAGTATGGATCTCCCTGTTTCTCCAATGTACACCTCACGGCATCCCCCACTTTTCCCTTCATTTATCACCTCACATTTTCCCCTCTTTCCAGAGGGTCTATAGAACTCGTGAGGGCATTTCTGATGGTGTGTCCCTCTTCTCTGTGTACACTGATATTTTATTGATAGGGTGTCATGTTCCTATTTTTTCCTGTTTTTTTGGAGATATTCCTTATTTTTCCTTTCTTCTAAAGAAAATTTGCAATTTTTTATTTTTTGATCTAAAAAGGATGTTTTGTGTTGCTTATCAGAAGATAAAATATGGATACCTTAGTCAACTGTTTATGAAGGTTTGGAGAAATTTGGCAAGAATATTAACTAACTGTCCTTGGACCGACATGCCCAGTTAAAGTACAGTGCAGGAAGGTGAAAAGATTACACAAAATTTAAATTATCTGTATTCTTGCAATAGTGTTATATCATTTTCATAAGTAATAGCTCTGACTCTGTGTCTTGGTGGTTCATGCATCTCTACGCGTGGAATTGAATCTCATTGCTTGATGAAGGGAACTTGTGAGGCATTGAATTATTGAAGTGGCAATCCAATACTGAAACGAATTAGAAATTACAAAAAGAACTGGGCTTGTTAACTGGATAGCGTGTTTAATCTGCACCCTCTAGTGTAAACTTTTTTGTTTTATGACTGAAAAGAATGATAAATATATTTTTCAATAGAGCCACTATATGTACGTGTCTGTATATATTGATCACTGGTCTGTCCTTGTCATCACCCATACTGTTTCCATCAGAAACATCAGTCCCTGTAACTGGCAAACCATATGTTTGGTTTACTCTTAAATTTACTGAGTAGCATTGTTTGGTTAAAAAAGATTCCTTTTAAAAGTCCGCATGTTCGGATTTTTCTTACAAAGAATATTGATTTTTTTCTTTTGCATGTATATTGACAAACATTTCCTCATAAATGCAAAACCATATTTTTGTTTTATTTTGGACTTGTAGTGTGGTTTTGCTCGGTAAAAAAGGGCAGAACTTTTGAAAATCATCTTGATTGGATTATTTTTATGTGCAGGTACATAGTGTACACACAGTTATGAATGGCAGGTGCTCTAAGTTTATTATGGTAAAAAGGTATCATGCTCATTGTCATTATTGTACAAAGTATTCTTAGTAATACTACTGCTTTGGTTGGATATAGCCAGAACTGACCAATAAATTCATGTCATGTAGGTGTTATTGTTAGTTGTTTTAGGTCTAAAAATGATTATTTCAGTCAACATCAAGTGCAAGAATGAACTTGGGAGGACTGGTCATTTACCCAATACTATGCAACATGAAAACTGAAGCTTATTTAACACCACCAATTTAAATGCTACACATAAGCTTAATCAGTAGGACGAAGTATATCAAGTATACAGTTGTATCACATTAATGGCTGTCCTGCGAGTTGGATGCAATACTTTTTTTTCCAGTTTGTTTATGCCTCATGATGTCATCAGACTTTCATTCCATGAACAAAAAATGGAAATGTTATATTGAGTTTTCATTCACTGGTCTGTACTTTTTATGTACTTATTGTATGTCTGTATACCCTCTACTAGGGCCACAGATTTATTTTTCACTAGACTTTCATAGGCCCCATCCAGATGGAGAAGAGCCAAGTGCTAGCTAGGCTGCGACGTAAATATGGCGGACCTACATGAAAGGAAGACCGGTTAATTCTGTTATGGTCTCTCTGCCTCTCACGTGCCTCCCCAAGAAACCACTAAAACTAATGAAGTTTGGTAACATTTATTTGCATATGCTATATCAGATTTTACTAACAAGACCACAATCTGGTGCCTCAACCACTTTTGGAGAGATTTTTTTCTCTATAAAAATAAATGCCTCTACTCTCTCCAGAAAAAGGGCAGACCTTGCACCTTGGAGAGTGATCTCGCAAAGTATGTAAATTCTTTACACAAAACAAGTTTACAAAAGCAGGCATAAATACAGTATGAACATGATGTTGCAAAAACAATGAGATTACCAACTTGATGGTGAAACTCTCACTCACTAAGTAAAAACATTTTACTAAGTATGCCTTAGATCAGAGAATTATCCATAATAATAATAATCTATTGCAATTTTACCATATTGGTTTTGAAAGGCTTCTGTGCCTCCTTGCCTTTATTTACATCTTATGAAGCAAGGAAGTCAACTTAAACTGCAATTCCTTCCTCTACTATGTACACCACTAGTGACCTATCCACAAGTGCCAGCATTCTTTGTACAGTGTTCCCTGACCTCACAGAATAAAAAAATTAACATCACCCCTGTCTCAACAGCTTTCTGGTCGCATTCAATCTGGTCGAGAACACTTAAAACTTTGAAAATATTGAGGAGTTAAAAAGAAGCATGTCAGTCACTTTCAACAAACATGCACCTTCCTAATAAATAAAGCAATTTTTGATTTCAGGCCAGATAAAGGCTAGCATTGCCATAAAGGTTACAAAGAGTTGAAGGCTTGAACCTGTTTGAATTCTCATCTCCAAAAGTAGGTAGAAATTCACTATCATCTTATTGATACCTGAATCAGCAAATTATCTATTGGAATTAACAATTACCTAATCCTTCATTCTGAATGAATCTTTATCAGGTAGTTTGTTCCAAGGTTTACGTTAATGAATGAAAACATTTCTAAACCAACCAGTCTGTTGAGTGTGCTTTATCCCTCAATACCATGTCAAGCTCTGTCTTTCCTTTCACTGGCACATCAAAACAATGGCTATCTTTGTGCTACTCTGTAGCTGGTGCTTTAGGCACTTCCTTGTACTCTACCCTGTATCTGTTATAGGGGTAATAAGGAGCTTTGTCTAGACTGTTATTGTCCAGTCTCACTGTTTTACAGGGCTTCATGTCTGGCACCTCTCCCATCAGCCAGTCATTGGATGACGCTGCCGCCTCTGGGGTTACATTGACTTCTTGCCACCTGCCAGTAAACTTGGAGAATTTGGAGTGTAGCCTCAAAGATACTTTACTATGTGTCTGGAAATAAAATAATTGAAATTTAATAAGAAGCCCATTAATTGTGTGGCAGTGCTCCTTATTAGTATACTCACATTAAGTGAAGAAAAAATTGGTGAAAACACGAACAGACAGTGATCAGAACATAAATATACAAACACATACATTGTCCTTAAGAGAAAAATCCCATTCAGCATATTTAAACTAAAACAAAAATATTGTTTGGCAGTTAACATGGTAAATCATAGATGTGTTAAATAGGGATGAGACCAGTCCACACTGAAAAAGTAGGAAAATTGGCCAGGGGTCCAGGGTACACAATTCACAAGAATGACCCAAATGATCCTGAAAAAGTTGGATTTCCGACAAAAGAGGTTAAAAGAGACTAACATGGGCAGACACACAATGATCTACGTATGTACAGGCACAAATAAAAATCATTACCGCGATGATCTTACCTCTTTGGCTTTCTTCAAGGCGTTCCGCCTGTAGAGGTAGCTCTCGCTGTTCACCACATACACCATCTTGAAGGAATTAACATTAAACTTGCACTCAGTGTTGTCTCTTATATCCACGTCTTCCTCCATGCTCTTTTTGACAGCCAAGGCTGTGAGGTCAGACCCAGGCTCTCCCCCAGACTCTCGGTTCTGCTGGCTTTTGCTCTGTTGCCGCCATTGTCGGATATTCCTGAAAATAAAAATGATTAGTGTCAGAACTGGCCTAAGACTTAAATATTTTCTTATTCATTTTATTGCACTAGAATGTAGATTTATTACCTACAATTTACAAAACATTACATGTTCTAGCACTGTTGTGGTTATTTTGTTAAGTGGGATATCTTTGCAACAGATCAAGAATTTGCAATGCATTTTAAAGTTTGTTGATGCCAAAGAAGACTCGGAAGTGTGCCGTCTAAACATCAAAGTGAATGTCTTGATTCATCCAGTTGTATTAAACTAAGATAATGAGAAAATTTAATCTTATACCGGATTTAACTTGATTCACTGAAACAAAAATCACAACATTTGGATGGGAGACATCCCATGCAGACTTTCACCAAGAAAGATCCAGTACAAGATTAAATTTTCCATAACTGTTTACACTATCCATGTTTGAAAATATATCCAAGTCACATTTTCTGTCTACATATCCTGCAAAACTATTTATCGTTCCCAATTCAGGCTTTAAAAATGATAAAACCCCCTAAACCTGATGTTGTTATTATCTAAAGTTTCCAAACAATCAAAACATGTACTAGTACTGCTTACTGGGCTTGTAAAATCTCGTTTAATTTGGTAACAAACAAGTAAAAAATAGTGAAACTATTATCTTATATCACTAAAAGTCACCACAAAGCATACCTAGGAAGGAAGACAGGTTTCTTTGCCAGTTGTTCCTTGAGTTCGTCAGAGATGTCATCACTGGTCACATATTTCTCTACATACTCGGACCATTTCTCCACCTCCACTGGGTCATCTGAATTCTCCGTCTCTGTGTCCAGGAGATCTACAGTGAGCCTGCACTCGTTCTTGTACTGGAAATATTAACAAACAATATGGAGGTAAATCATTTCAGACTTTCAGATATGTCTTATATTTCATTTGAAGACAGATATGCGCTACTTAATGTAAGCTGACTGAAATTACATATTAAAGGGATAATAACTCTTCATATGAGATCTATATTTCACAATAAAAACCTTGTGAATAACTCGTAGAAATATAATATATTCTGTTTTACCACAAAAACAGCAGTTATAGCTATTATTCTGATATCTGAACTTGTCTTTAGACCACGTGACCTCCACTGATGTCTATACTCTGTTAAAATCTCTTAAGAGATTTTAACAAAAAACCAAACTTTTTAGAAAAAAACCAGGGACTAACTTTGAATGTAAAAATGGATTCATTAACCATTGGTAAGTATGGGAAAATTGATGTTTACTCCAGGAAAATTCATTTTTTGGCCAAAACGAAGAGTTATTATTGCTTTAAGTGAGCACAGATTTTAATGCATGTAAAACAATTCTACTAGTTTCTTATTGGACTTGAATCAAATGGATATGCAAAATAATAAACCTATAGCTTTAAAACTGCATCTTCTTTAAATTACTGGACGTAAAATTGACCTATTTAATTGACCCTAGAGTGCTCAAAAGTCCACCAAATGACATAACAATGTATGCCACAAATATTTAAATGAGGACTGGCAAAAGGCTGGCACAGAAAGAAAGCAAACAAAAAAAATCTGTTCAAATATCATTTTGGGGAAAGTATGAGATATTATACTTTGGTATTTCTTTAAGTTATGCTATTTGAAACTAAATTTGGTGGCATTTGGTCAGGATAAGTTACCAAGATTTGACTTCATATGTAAAATTAAGGAGACTGAAATGTCTCATCACATTCAAAAGATGTACAAATGGCTATCAGTGAGAATTGTTGCAATGAAACAGACCATAACTTTGATAAACAAGAATTAATGTTACATTACTACCTCTGACAACTCATTAAAACTTGAAGATTAAAACCTTAAAGCTGCAATGAGTATCCAATAACTTTGCTCTTACCACAGTGGTTTTAAAACAATTTTCATCACTTAAAATTTGTTCCACTTTCTTCTGATATGCTGCTTCAGCTGCCATTCGCTGCTGCTGCATACTAACAGAACCACAAGTTACGCCATTCTGCTTTTCTTGTAGAAACATATCTGTTACCTGGATACAGATGTCATCTCCAACAATGTGTTGCAGCTGAAAGATCAGGAAAATGCTCAATATGTGAAGCATTGCATTAGTTCTGACAGAATGGTACCATTGTCACAGAGGTTTATAGCCTCTCGCAGCATGCAGTCAGATTAACATGCCTACTCCTTGCCTTGAGCAGATTACAAAAAATCTGGTGATTATACGAGAACATTGGAAACATGAGGCAGAGTGTTAATCTGACTGCATTCAAAGAGTCCCCATGGAGTTAGTACACAGTAGCTAGTACGTCCGTTTCATTATGAAAACGCCCTAGGTATAGACAACTACCACTAAAAACTTTCACAACCTCTGCTCACACATTTTTCTTTAAACAATGTATTTACTTTCAAATTGTAACAAGGAAGCCTACTTGCACATGTTATGTATTTTGAAGCAGTTTTCATGCCAATGCTATCATTTTTGTAAAAAAAAAAAAAAAAAAAAAATCAAACTTTCAGCTCAAACTGATAAATCCAATTTAATTACTGCTTTTCCAACTGCAGCTGTATTTAAATCATGGTCTTATGTTGCACTCGTCATTTTGAGAAAATAAGTAACAGTTTTCCTATTATAGTGTTGATGAAAAGCGAATGGTGACGACAGACACAGGTGTGAACTTTATGTCTAGACACACAACATCTTTCCATAAAAAAAGAGCAAAATCACATGTATCAGAAATGAAAGTTATGCCCCCCCTCACCTGTCTGACAATATTCTGCACCAGCTTATCAGTGGTAAAGGCAGTGTAAGCATGGATGCCAAACATCTCTCTCAATGTGTCCTCAAACTGACTTGACTCCATGTTGCCATCCAACAGGTTCTTTATCATCTCCAGGAAATGTGGATAATAGTCTTCAGGAGCCACCTCACCTGGGGAAAAACATTACAGAACTACACTCTATGGCAATGTGTCAGGTGTTTTGTAACTGAATGATATTCATTAAGCAAAATTTACAGCCTAAATTCCACAAGTATTTGCTTCAAAAATATACTATCCTTAACTGAGAACTGTCAGATCTTCAAAGACATTTATACCTTGGGCACTGAATACTTAAAAATATGTACTTCAAGCAGAATTTCAAATAGAACCTTTAAGGCACTGAAATATCCTTAATGTTTCACTTGTTGCAGTGCGAGTACATTTTTCGACTCTCACTGAACTATATTTTGTTAAAGTGATGTAACAAAAAGTGCACAACAATTTTCAAACACATCTAAAATGACCGTTTTCAACCTAACACCATTACTGTAGAAATAGTTGCTTTACTTAACTAGGTGCAGGTTGGTTCAGAGTTCATCTTAATTCATTTAAACACTTTAATTCATTGCCGATTCATATCTTTTTATTTTTAATGTTTTAATAATTTGTACTAATTTATGTGACCTACAGTACAATCCAACTATTTTAGTTGCAAGCAAACAGTTTTATTTTTGTATTATGTAACCCCTAGTTACTGTAATAAGATGATATATGCATAGCTCCCACAACATAAAAATATTACATACTTGGCGCCTTTAACCTGAGAGCCACTGCTGTAGATTCTTTCCTGTCATGTTTACATTTGGCCTCCTCCTCTATAATCTGGAGTGCATGTCCATAAATCTTCCCCAACCTCTCACACAGCAGCTGGTGCAGCCGGAAGAACAGGTACCAGTTGTTGTTTACAAAGAAAACATTGCAGTGGTCATCCTATGGAAAATAAAAAATTTACAATTTTCACTTTCCCTTGGATTATGGTTACAAGGAGTACAAATAGGCAAGATTGAATGATAATACATTTTCTATGGAGAACCAACTACACTAAATTTGGGGAGTGGGGGCGAGTCATTTTTTGTACTTATGTTTTTCCACTTTGATTTCATACATTTTGATATTAAAATAATACAGGACTTTAAGTTTTTTAATTTTAAAACACTATTCATTTTTAATCAATAAAGTCAAATTAAAACATCATTACAAGTCACCACTTCCAGTATTGCACTTTGCAAATTCTATGAAATGCAACAAAGAATCCCTAGTTTTAACAGTGCCAAAAAAAACTCTTTGGTTCCAACATGTGATGCCTGCTACTCCAGTGAAAATGCACCCATTGAATCAAAACTCACACGACTGAAAAGCGTCCTCAAGTGCAAGTTTTCACCATAATATATAAGTGTATTGGTCTATGGAGTTTCTAAATAACAGCATTACTTCAGAAACAAAGAATTCAAAATTCCCACCCCTTGGATCCTTAAACACAGATCCAAGGTCAGGCATAACATGAGTGTTCAAGTAGTAACTGAGGAATAGCAGACATGAAGACTAGTTTCTGGTGGCAAGGCCAAATCCAGCATAGACACTGATGGTACAATAATTATTTCTGCAATAATTTAAAAGGTTTCACAAAAGAAATTCAGACTGAAGGTCTGAATGTTATTTAGACCAAAATTTTGTTCTACTGCAATTTAGAATTAGTGCAGAAGTCTACTAAACTAGAGGATCAGAGAGGCGACACCACCTTCAGAAATAGGTACCTCCAGCTGGAGTAAGCGCATTTGTATGGAAAACCAAAAACAAAGGGACACAACCACCAGTGTTGTGTTTGACAAGCTCTACAATATGCAATAAACAAGACAAGAAATATGCTCCCCCCCTAAAAAAAAAAAAAAAAAAAAAAAAGGTACAATCAGGCAGATTTTCAAACTCGACCTGTACTTTCATAATATTGATCACTCCCGTGATTTTCAAGACAATAGGCCCGACAGTTTTCCCTGAAATGTGTTAAAGAAATAGGCCTATCTCTGACAGTTTTTTTTTTTTTTTTGCAAAGTTCAGTTCATGGTAAAAAGGTCAAAGGTTAATTTCAAAGTCACAGTTAGATTGCCAGTATATGACTTCCTATTAAGTTCAATAGTAACTATGGGTGCATCTCTGCCAGTTTTGGAGATAAAAGGGACGCAAAATTTGCAATGGTGAAAAGTAGGTCAAAGGTCAATTTCAAGGTCACAGGTTGCAAGTATGTGACTACCTATTCAAGTTCAACAGTAAGTATGGGTGTATCTCTTCCAGTTTGCAAGATACAAGGGGCAAAAATTTTTCAAAGTTCAGTTTATGGTGAAAAGTAAGTCAAAGATCAAATTCAAGGTTACAGTAAGATTGCCAATAGATGCCTTCCTATTCAAGTTCAATAGTAACTATGGGAATATCTTTGCCAGTTCTGGAGAAGACAGAAAGCGTGCAAAGTGCAGTTCATCATGGAAAGTAGGTCAAAGGTCAATTTCAAAGTCACAGTTAGATTGCCAGTATATAACTTCCTCTTCATGCTGGTGGTACCAAATATAACTATCAGTCTAAATCAACAGCTGTTTGTTTTAGATTTTTTTAATCATAAAGCTAAATCTAACTGGTCTACAGCAGTTCATAAACTAGGGGCAAAGTAGACTTAATTTTGTTTAAAAGGCTAAACCAACTTTCCACAATAAGTGCTTTAGTAAAACAGGCTCTGCCACTACTCACAGATGTGTTATCATCACAGTCACCATTCATCATAAGTCTCTTGCTGCTAGGCGTGGCTGTGCCATTGACCTTGTCTTCTATAACCTTGGTATCTTTCTTCACCTCCTGATCTTTTTTGTCCCCCTTGTTCTCAGTCTCATCAGTATCCATATCTGAGGAGAGAAATGATGGGGAGATTTAAAAGAATGCTTAATGAAATATTTCTAAGTAACAATCCAAAGAACTCCATTGCTGTGAATCAATAAAACCAACAAAGTTGTCATCGTTTCGTTTTTATTTAAAATCATATTAAAACAGAAAATTTGCCCAATTTGCTCCTTTCATGCAAGTCCCTAATTCCATTCCTAAGTACTATTTTAAAATTGTACTTTACTTGTATTTATCTATTCAATTCTAGATCAAAGTATCTCAACTATTCTGACTATTTATAATCTTAGCATTTATGAAATACTGAAATCTGGAGAAAAGCATGCTTTATAATGTTAACTTTCTCACCCTCCTCTTTGTCCCCTTCATCATCACTCAGCTCTCCTCTAGGAGTGAAGAACAAGTCTGGAATGAAATGGTACAGCAGCTGCTTGATCTTCTGCTTGTCCTCCTTGTGAATACCTGGAATCAAAGATGTTGCACCAATTAATCACATATGTCTATATTGATATCATACTAGACAAAACATACGGCAGAAATATGGACTGTGTGGGCCTTCTGCTAAAATGTCCATCTTACCGACAGTACTGTATTTAATCCTAAGTGCCATTCAAAATAAGATAATTAAGATATGTAGAGACATGTAGTTTTTCTTGAACCACATTAAAACTTTTTCCTGGACTTTACTTCTTTAACTATTTGACTAAATAAAATTTTATCCTAAAACTAGAGGATCAGAGGGGGGGGGGAGGGGGGGGGCAGAAAATATGCTGTTCCAGAAATAGGGAGAGTTTTCAGTTTCCATATCTAATGGCTGCTTCTCCCATGAAAATGCAGCGATTGACCTCAAACTCCCATAGATAAAAGGAGTCCCTAATTGTAAAGATTGTCTAAAGTAAGAAAGCTCAGGTCTGTGTAGTTTCAGAAAATTGGCACAAACAATTTTTTTTTGCAGAACATTCCCATTTTTAGAAAATTTTTGCTTGTTTGACCTTGATATAAAGGTCAAAGGTCAAATCCAAGGGCACATTTAGATTCTCCACATATGATTTTCAGTCAGACTTCAATAGTAATTTTCCCATAATTCCTTTGGTTTGAGAGATATTTAGCATTGAATTTTCAAATTTTTTGACAAGGGTGTGTTTCAAAGAGTGTCACGCCCAGGTGAATGCACCAACTGGCAAAAAAAAAAAAAATAAAAAAAAACACAGGGGGTTGAAGTTAAGATTATATGTGAGCTAAATCCAAGAGATGGGGACACGGTCTAGGAGGAGCAGCAGTAATGATGACTTATATCCAGCACCAATACGCGGAGTCATACCAGATGGGACGTACATGCTGGTGGTACTAATGAACCTACAAAAATACTAAACTTACTTGTCTGCCTTTTCATGTGGTGTATTATTAGTGAAGTAGCATCGTCTAATACTGCTTTCTCCTTGTATATGAAGGAAAGCATGGGTTTGGTGATATCTGAATCTTGGCGCTGGAAAGTACAAGTGTGTAACGTTTTATCAGACAAGACAGCAGTTGCCAAACTGTTAAATTGAAAAAGTGACAAAATAATGCAGCAATATAAAACATTTGGGCAGTGACACCCAGTCCCACACTTATGGTGTAAAATGAAAGTATTGAATCAAGAAAAATAAACTGATCTGTCTGGTTTTTGAACTGATAAGTTTGACAATAATAAATAACAGTTAATCTGAAGAAGAAAGTGGAAGGCAACATCAGACAACTGATGATACCATTCTCACCTCATCAAAGATGGCTTCCACCTCGTTTAGAAGGGCTTTGGACCTGATAGCTTTGACATCATTTTGCTTAAAGTTGATGCCCTGGTGATCCAGAGATTTCAGGTAATACTTTTCATTCTGTTCTCGCCAGATCTTATTGAATGATTTCTGTGCTTCTCGCCACTCTTCATCTTTTGCTTTTAATCTAAAAACATGGAGGCATAATTAGATTAATGTTTAAATTAAAAACACTGATGTTCATTAAGCATTTAAAACACACACACACACACGCCACAGTTTAAGATCAATGTAAGTCATAGTTACTGACTGTTGGTATGAAGATTTACATAGTGTAAATAATATGTTGCAAACTATCAGATTCTGTGTCACTCAACATGATTCTGAAGGCTTTCTGATAATCTCTGTTTTTAATTTGTGCAACATCTGATAAACAGATGATAAACAAAAACCTACCTTCTAAGAACCAGGGGCACAGCTACCACAGGATTTTTCTTCAATCCATCAATGATATCAGCAGATTTGTCACCATATATTCTAATCAGTAAAAAACGCTGATTTTAGACTCTAAATACCATCACCTACATCCAGATCTCGATGCATTTAAACTTGCTGAACATGTGAAAAGTCATCCTATTCAATTTTTCAGACAAAACAATCTAACTGAATTTTCAGACAAAACAATTTTACTGAAAAATTCACTTAGTCACTTAAAGCTTGAATCCTTCAATGGATTACTGTATGACTTTTACATTTGACACCCATACCTCTGTATAGCTTTCCTGTGGATGGTCTCAGAATTGCCTCCAAGACAATTATCTAAGCGGAACTTGGCTGCCTCCTCAGAGGACATACGGGACATTTTCTTCTGTACAGCTTCCAGTACTTTGATGGAGGAAAGGTTGGACTCTATCACCACATCAAGCTGGAAATGAAGGAATAATTAGTGAACGACTCTTTGACAAAATACTTGATCGTGCATGTCATTCCAAGTTTGGCACATACAGACAGTTACAAATACTATTCAAAAATTCAGAAAATGCCTAAATAAGTTCTTTAAATCCACTTATGCCCCTCAACATGAACCTCCCTTTACTGGCCAAAATGTCTTAAGTTACACACACATCGACTTTAAGTCTATATCAGTTCTAATATGGTTCAGTTCCCAATACTAGTTCCTGCGACTAGAGAAGGAATACTTAGTGAAAACAGTCCTTTTTGTGATTTTTGGCCATGAAAAAAATTAAGCATAAAATTTTTACTTTTAAAATGAATGCAGTGAGGATCTGACCTATATCTGTTAGCAATGAATATGTTCACCGTTATTAAGAGTGGGAAAATGTTACTAGTCAAGTTGAATATTGGCAAAATAAATGTCCCAATTGGTCATGTAAAAACTCAAATTTTCACCAAACTCAGTCAATCCTTGCAGAGTGTGCAAGTACAATGGTTCAGCGTGTGATTTTCTAATCCTAAAGATCTTTAATATGATACAATTTCATTCTCCTATGAAACCATACTAATGTTAACAATTAAACCTTACCTCAAATCTTTCATCTTCACATCTGTAGATGTGCTCTTCGTACTGGGTCTTTCGCGATGTGACAAAAGTGGAGTCCTCGGACCAGGAGGGAAATGACACCCAGGTATCATTGAGCACCTAAAAGAGAACAGGAAGTTACATTAACACATGCCTGCCAGCCAAACACCGTGTTTCAAAGGAACAGTAATGACAGCTGCTACAATGATATCTAGAAATGGAATTAACTCTTACCCACGCACATTGAGCTGTTCATAAAACAGGCATTCCAAGTTCTACTAAAACCCTTTTACTGACACTTCAGAATTTAAATGACATATGTAAATGCAATATTAGCTCCAAAATCTAGCAGGTTCAGGTTCAAAATCTAGGAGATTAATGTGACCTAATTTTACACAATGCTGGTACTAATTATTAACTTATGTACAAACTTAAATATCCACACTGCTAATACTGAGTTCAGCTAGCTACCTCTTTGCACAGTGCTGTTCTTCCTGAACACTTTGGTTGCTGGTAAGTCTTAGGAAGAGCTCTGTAGCTGGCACCATACCGTTTACATGATGCATAGTCTGCAAGAGAAAAATATGGAGTTTCATGGATTCTTTTTGAACAGTTAGATAAACTTCAAACTCCCCTTCAGAAGTCTTAAGCATTATAGAACCCTAAAAAAGACTCAAGTGCAATAAATAAACAAATCTGTGACTTGGTGAAAGTAGTATACCGTTTATTTTTCTCAACCAAGAGAAAAAATCTTGCATGCTAGACAAAAATTAACCATGCTTGTCCAAAACTAGCTTTTATCAGCATAATGGATAGAAGGATGCACACACACCTATCTCCATGGCCAAATCCCCAGTAATTCTTTCCTTGTGAGAGGCCGAGCTGGGGACAGGCTCTATCATTCCTCCCTCCTTGTAACCCAGGAAATCTTTAAACCACTTGAACAGCTCTGGAAATTTACTGCAAAAGGAGATAACTTAAACATCATATGACTTTGACATTTCCCAACAATTAACTTACATAAAATGAAATAACATATAATCATGTGGACTTGTAAACTTCAAAATGCTTTGTACACAATACATTTACCTAGATATTTGATGTTTTCTTTTAAACTTAAACCTACCAACAATAAAATATCAACTTGGTTGTTTTTAGAGGTCTTACCCCAAAAAAGGCTGAACTAACTGGACCAGCTCTGTGCGTGAGATCACTTCTTGGTTGAAAAGCACTAGGCAACGAAGGAAGTTCTCATAGACTTCCTGGTTTCTCAAAGCTTTACGCACCTATAGAAATGAAGGTGGCAAATTTTGTCAAATGGACAGATATATTTGTGCAAAACAGGACAGGGCTTATTAAAAACAGAAAATGACCATTCATGTTAAAAAACCAAAATGGGAAATAACTTCCAGAAAATTTGAACTTGGAAGTCTCATGTAAAGCTTATAAAGAAAAATACCAAGTTTGATTACAGATATTTATATCAGTTTAATCCAAATAGAGAAACTAAAACTTTTTACATCAATTTTATACTAAATCAACCTGACAAAGTGCAAAAAGTTTCACAGACATGGCTTTTTTATGTCCCAAAATTGTGGCATGTCTGGCTTTAGAGTCTAAAATGATAACGGCTTTTAAAAAGCTGATTTTAAAAAAGCTCCCAATAACTTTCATTTATATTAGCCACTGGTCTGATGCCTGCAGCCACTTTAAGTTTGTGTAGACTATTACATTTGTCAGAATGTGCGAATTTAGTGGTCCAATATGGCTAATTAGATTTCTTTTTATGGCACAGACTGAATTATTATATTTTATTCATAATACAGCAGTTTCAAAGTAAATTTGTATAATTTTTAGTATTGAAATTTTCACATACCATTAAGTGCATTGAAATGTAAACAATGTCATGCACTTCATAAAGGGTATACATTATAGAATACAATCAATAAATTTAGTAAGATTATAGGAAGGTATTCCAGGTTGATAGTTATTTAACAGCTATGAATCAATCAAATAAGTTTGGGGGAAATGATATACTTGATTTACACATTAATTGATGAGAAAAAGATTCAGTGCTAAAAAAGGATAGTGAAAAAACCCCCCACTAAACTGGATAGTTTTTGAAAAAAAAGGGTATATCTCTACAAAAAGGTGGATTGCTTCACTTACTTTATCAAAAAAGGCATATTCGTTCAGTGTTCCATATTTTCCTGCTTCTGCAAGTGTAATATCCTTGAAGATTCCAGTCTTAGCTTTCTGTAATAATGAAACAGCCCTTTAAAATCTTTCATTAAGCAATATACCAAGTAAAAATTCTCACAGAACAACATTTAACTAGCAAACAATCATCAATTTACTGAAACAACCAGCAACATTTAATCTCTAGCAAGGGAACAGAACATGCAGTTTTTCTAGTATCCAGATTACTTAATGCTCATGCACAACAGTCCGGTAGACTCGTGAAGTGTCTGTCCACAAAGAACTGCCTAAAAATGTAAAAAAGCATAAAGCAAACTGCACATTCCTTACATCTCAATTTCATTGCTCAAACTCTGTTTGTACATCCCCTGTTATCTGACATCCTTCAAGCAATATTTTTGCTAGATACAGTGAAGATCCATTCTAAACATGCAGGGAAATGTCTGCGACATACCTTGGAAGGTGGCTGCTGCCCAGAGGAAGGTCTTCTGATATGACTACCACTCTTGTTGTTAGCTTTTCCGAATCCTGGCTTCTTCACAGTGGATGAATGGTCATTGCGCACACCAAGGTCAGCTTTAGTATTCAGGAACCACTGCATAGTACAAGAAGTAAAAAATTAAGGTAACAGCTCAATAAATTGCATATGCTTGTATTGCTTAAATGTTGGTAGTAATGAACAATATCAGATAGTGTTTTTATGAAATAAACATCTATCTTGCAAATATCTGTTAAATTTCTGTTTAATAGCATTCTTTAAAATACATCAATTAGCTGAATAAACCATTATTATAATTCTTGACATTGATGTGATAATAAGGGACCACATCTTACACTGAAGTTGGAGGCTGCTGAGCTGTTGGCATCAGGAAGAAACTGTCCAAACTCAGACAGCAGGTCTTCCTGATTCTGGAACAGTTTTGCCACCTGCGCATACACCTCTCCTTCTGTTAGAGGCTTATAACCCGGGGGGCACAGACCCTGGAAAATAAGTCCTGGTTTTAGAGAAAGGCTTTTAAAAATATACTTTCTTGGTGATGCAAATCTTTGCTGAGTTTAATCTTGGATAAAATTCATTCCAGTTAAATATGCAGATAATTTAAGCCAAATCAATTTTCTGACAATTATATATTTGGCAAAGAGCAGAAAGACAGGCAATACTTGCAGTTAATTAGAATACATAGAGCATTTGGCCAAAATTAATTTTAGTTCACTCTAAAATATACTTGATGGACTTGTTTATACTCCATTTTTTTAAAAATTTTTCATCATTTCTGATTATGTCCTATTGCACTTAAATAAACTTATTCCTTTTTTATTAAATAACTTGTTGACACAATTCTCACCTCCTTGAGATTCCTTTGCTCTTTCTGGTAAGTATGAAGTATCTCCAAGAAAGCTTTGTAAATTTCAGGCTGGTTCTGGAAGCGATTCTAGAATGCAAAACAACAATTTGGCATCAAAGACAAAACATACCCACACTAAAACTTTTGTAAATTACAGCCATTAACTTATCCAAAACTGTTTCGATAATCTGACCCATTTTCAATTTCAAATTTACTGTTACAAGCAAGGCTTTCCCCAGAGAGCCATCCAGCCATCATATAGACAACAATTAGCTGCAAAAGACGGCCTGTATTTCCAAAGACAGCTGGTGGGCTTACAAATTTTTGGGGTTGGTTGGTTGGGCTTGCTGCGGTTAGACTCCAATCAATGACCAAATTACAGGCTCATATAATAAGCAAATTCAACATATCCTTGAAGGAAGGAGTTGGATAAGCATGCACTTCTTGTGTTTGAAAATGAAATAGCTGGCAAGCAAAAGATCTAATGTTCAGGGCAGACGCCTGTCTTCACTCACTTTGATCTTATTCACATAGTTGATAGCGTGATTGAACTCTACTGGTTGTGTGGCCTGGGGTGTAGATGGCGCAATATGCTGAGGAGAGGGGTTCACTTCCTGACTGGGGCGCGATGCCTGGTGGTAGGAGTGGTGAGAGGCACTACTAGTCAGGCTCTGGCTGCTAGGAACATTGACCGGCTGAAAGAAACCAAGATCATTCGGGCACTCAATGAAAGTTGACAAAGAGTGAAATAAAGAAGTAAAATTATATATAACACAAAACACTTATTCTCTTTTCCCAATTTTATATCAATTCCTCACAATGTAAACTTGTATTACAGCAATCACCTCTGAAGTTAAACTGAACACCAAAAACACCATGATAGCCGTCTACTAACTCCGTAAATTGAGATTGTGCTCACAGTTGCCATACTTAAACCTACTGGTTTTGCCATCATTTGGACAGCTTGATCAAGCAGAAGATGACAATTTTATGCTTTGCATGGCTTGCTAAAATTCTCAGAATTTATGTTATAGACCTGCCTGTTGCACCCTCTGTGCAATATATGTACAGAGATCTGACCACGCACACACATGCAGGACTCACCGCTTCTGACTGAACTCTTTGTGTAAGTGATGTACATAGTGTGGTCGTTATCTGCCCAGGTTGTTGTACGCTGATGGTCTCATTAGCTTGTACCTCAATCTTGTACCCCGGGGGAAGGAAAGTGTTAAAGCCAACAATCAGGTCAGGGTGACCCCTAAACAGGTTGGACACCCTGTTGATAACACCTGGGGTGTCAATGCTACAATAAGAAAAAATTCACTTTGAAAAAAACTACAAAATTCATGATGGGTGGGGTAACCTTTGTTGTTATAATTATCATGTCAAAATATAAATGGACATGAACAAAACAAAGCCACGATTAAATGTCATGCACACAGATTCACAATTCATAAACATCAGATATTATCTATATATTCTATATATTTAACTACTTTTACTATTACGGGAAAGTTAAATTATTGAAAAGGTCTTCTTTGAATGATCAGTGCAGCAACATGTCAGACTGATAATTGAAACCTCTCTGCATTACACAATGGAACTCACGTCTGAGACTTGAACTCTTTCATGATATCCAGGAAGTCATTGTAAACCTGTGGCTGGTTCCCAAACTGCAGCTTCACTTGGTCCAGGTAAGAGAGGGCATCCTCCACCTTCAGTCGCTGGAACTGCTGCTGTTGCTGCTGACCCTGGACTTGGGCAACATGGGCCTGAGAGAGAGGGAGAAGAGAACAAGTCTAATTCTGCCAGTATTTAATTACACTTTTTTCAGTCCACCAGTCTAGCAGGATCTATTCACATACCCCCACAACCTTCACTTAACTTTGGAACTGCCATACTTTGACGTGTGCTCATATTTGACCTAGGTAATGTCAAATGATCAGTGATTACTTAGGGGAAGTAAGCAGCCAAAATATCATCACAAGGAGGACCTTAAAAAGGCTATAAGATTTTCAAGGGTATGACAACCATTTTGAGCAACCCTGTACTTTTTGTCTATAAATAATGTATAAAATGCTAAACAATGATTAATTGTGTAAAGGGTCCCCTTATACTGCATATGTACTAATATTTTTACTCCTCACCAGTATGTTGGACTCGGCAGCTTTCTGTACCTGGGCATGTGCCTGTGCCTGATGGACCTGCTGCTGGTGGTGTGCCTGGGCCTGGCCCCCGGGATGGGTAGGGGGTGGGATACTGCTGGTCTGGCCACCCTGCTGGTTGACACTGAAACAGTAGTGGATGATGGACACTAAAATTTTATTTACTATTTCAAACTGCACTACACATGCGTTTCAGCACCGTTCCCTACATCTACTATAGGCCAACTGAGCGATGAAAGCAAGTTAATTTCAACTTTATTAATAAGAGCCAAATTTCTGCATCAAAACCCCATTTTTATTTGTCCAAACCTCTAAAGTTGACTGCCATTTTGGTCACAGGGAGGATCCATAGAATTTCACTGGAGCACTATGCCTTACACATTTGAATAAAGGCAAACTACGGCAGTTTATTACCTAGGAATTTTATGATATTAGTGATATGAAATGAGGGTCAAGATACTTACGGATAATTCTGCACAGGATACTGCATGTTAGCACCCTGCAGATTTTGTCCTTGTTGTCTAGGCTCAGCATTCATCTGTACAGAGGCAGCAGGAGACCTATGCATGGGTTCCACAGGGTACACTGCCCTGGGTGGAAATTGGCCCTCCTGAAACAGAACAAATACCACCCAATAACAGCCACTTTGTAAAAGATGATTTTATCTAATGACTATATTCTACAAATTAGGCTTAAATTGGTCTAAAATGACACAATCACCGCCAATTTCTAATATGTAAGTACTACAGCTAACATGGACATCCAAAAAATGTAACTAGCATAGGGTTTCAGTCCCATGGTATTTCAGATACATACAATGAAAATGCCAATATGAGAAAATTAAAATATCTCAAATAATAATAATAATCAAATAAATTTTTTTTTCATAACTTCAAGAAAAAATAATCTAGTATAGTAGTAAAGCTGCTAATCAAACTTGGCCTGAATTTTAGTGCCAAAAATCACTTCAGTGGGTTCAAGGATAATAAGTCACACAGTTTTCTATAAATTTTGTTAGCAGTCAAAAGTGCATGGCAAAGATGCCAGTGATGGCTATCTGTAAAGACACTGTCTGTACATAAAAAAAAAAAAAAAAAAAAAGTAAAACAGTCCCATGTGGCAGTGCCCCAGTCTTTCTGACCTAAGATAAGTGGTGCTTCCAGTAATATCCCAGGCCATTTCAAGTATACTTCTATTTTATGTTAAACAACCTTTAATGAGATATTTAAGCAGTCGAGACAAAAAGTATTGCTTGTCATTCAGATCACCTGAAATCTGTAATTTGCAGTTATTGATTCCAGATTTGCTAGCTGCAATAGTTTTTCGCAACATATCACAAAATAAATGGGATGCAGTCTGGTGCCCTGATTAAAGAAATAATAAATAAATAAATGCATCCTAACAAGCTACAAGACACTTTTTTCCATGATCTTATGAAGAAAAGCTCACCTCTGCACTGGCTGGTCCCCCACTTCCTCCTTCAGCTTTCTCTTTGTCTCTCCTTGAAGCGATATGACTGTAGATGATAGACACACCCTGCTGCTGCTGTTTTCTTAGATCAGAGAAGTCCCTACTGGCCCCACTCTCCTGTGAACTGGGGGGTGGGGCAGGAGTAGAGTCCAGTGTTGTCAACAACTCCGCCCAAGGCTAAAAAAATAAATCAGCAAAGTTTGAGAATAATAAGGTCCTTTTACCGTGTGAGAGTACATACAATAATCTTATCAATTCTGACGCAATATTATGCAACGCTTAACAGCATAATTATCACCAATTTTTAATTTTGTACTTCTGTTACTCTGCACATTAAGTAAATATAGGCAGCATGACACACCTAGTAAATGAAAATTTGTGCAAAAATCCAATCAAGCTGGTTTTTGAACCTCAATGTGTCCTATGAATCATTCCTGTTAGTTTCAGAAATTTGAGTAATATGTTTGTTTTATAGTGTTCACAAGTAAAAAATAATTATTGATCTATAGATTATTAAACTTAAAGAGTGATAATCAGGGATAATCCTGGGGCACGCAATTGCGCCAAATGCGGGGGCCTTTTCTCAAAGGCGCAAGTAAAATTTCTACCTGTGGCAGAATGGCACGTATGAATAGCAGACATTTTTTCGTAATAAAGATCTAAGTACATTATGATGTCACTCGAAGTGCGCATAGCGATGCTGTGAGGGCTGACATGTGACCCGTTTCACAAAATACTTCGAAACTGAAACATGTTCTGCTCAAAACACTGAAAACGGGCCACTCAAACTGGTTATGACCGGCCACGCACAGACCTCTTAGATCACCTAACTACGTGTGCTGGGTAAACAAATATGGCTGCAGTTGGACCGCATGTTGAGTAATTGATAAGTGAAAAGGAGAAATAATCATTTGTTTTTTTAGATGGGTGCTCTTAACTAAATTTCAACAGACATTTTGTCATATTGCAACTTTAGTGGCATTGCATGTTTAAAAATGAGGGACAACATCGTATTCAATGCAGGAAGTGCACAATGGTACAGTCAGGATGCAAAACTGGGGGGGGGGGGGGGGGGGGAAATTAATCAAGAGGAAATTAGCTAGAGACAGGTGAAATTAGTCAGCGGTAAGCCTGACCAGACAGGTGACCTGTAAAATAAGCGTTAAGGCCTACAACGTAATAATCACAAATACTTCATGTGTAAATTGATTAATAGATATGCCAACTAAATTAAGTAACGTTATGTAGTTGCTTGCTAGATTTTATGTAAATATAGATATATGTAAGACAGGTTTCTTTCATCTTAGATCACTGCTTTCAGGTTAAAAAAAGAATGCAAATATTTTGAAAAATACAAATTCTTTTCAGAGCTAGTCTTTTTTTCACAATAAAAATGGGAATTGTCAACCTTTTCCATGCGGTGCAATTATTTGGCACAGTACAATTATTAATTTTGAAAGATTTTTCCATTCAATTTCAGCATGTCTGGAGTACAGATGGCAATTTTGGATGGCCTGTATCCCAATCCTGGGAAAAGCCTTGGTTATTAGACAACTGCTGGTCAAGATTCAGGTGTCTGAGGGAAAAAGTGGTTGCAAAACAGAACTGTTAATGTTGAGGCCTGAAGTAGAAACAGAGTAGTAACTGCGCTCAAACTTGAAAGATCTTAAAGGGATAATAACTCTTCGTATGAGATCTATATTTCACAATAAAAACAATGTGAATAACTCATAGAAATATAATATATTCTGTTTTACCACAAAAACGGCAGTGATAGCTATTATTCTGATATCTGAGCTTGTCTTTAGACCACGTGACCTCCATTGATGGCTATACTCTTTAGAAAACCAAACTTTTTAGAAAAAAACCAAGGACTAACTTTGAATGTAAAAATGGATTCATTAACCATTGGTAAGTATGGGAAAATTGTTGTTTACTCCAGGAAAATTCATTTTTTGGCCGAAACGAAGAGTTATTATCCCTTTAATTACATAGGGCTTAGTCATCATTTATCTGTCTTGATTATGCTTTAAGCTTCAGGGCTATGTCTCCAAATTCAACTAGGAGTCAGGTCCGATCTTAACCTCTCTATTGATACAAAAATGCATCTCTTCAAGAAGCTCTGGCTGAACAATACAGGAATTCAGTACTTTACCTGCTGTTCCTCTCGGCGGGGCTGCTGCTGCATTTTGGAAGCCGCGGACCAACAACTTCTGTGTCAAGGGTCTACTTGCGTTTACCTGAAGTGAAACGAGGAACAGCTACCTAAACCAAGGTCTAAGCTTTATTACTTGTTTTCGATCTAAACCTTCGCAACCAGGCCTCACAAATTGGGTCAATTTCATTTCAAAATGGCTCCAGATAGCGCGGCTAGTGCGAAGATTTTTCTCACGACACCTAACACTTAAAATATACCGCCATTTCTATAAGCACAACAATGAAACTGTTTTACTTACACATAAAATATACAGACAATTTAATTAAAACGAGAGAGTACGTTCCGCGGAATGTCTGTTTGTCAACGATACAATATGGCGACGATGCTTATACCCCTTTTGATAAACTCGACCATATTAGCAGTAGCTCGGTAAAGTTAAACAGAAATTCCAGAAGAGATACACTCTCAAAATTAAATTCAGGGCACGCATGTATCAAAAGCGATGCCAGGGACACAATTATTTATATCTTCACTAAAAATAACTTTCCGAAAAGATAAATATGAACAGAAAAACCAGCACAATTTTAATGGTTCTTGACTCGGTCAAGGTCGTTTGTCTCGGTCGAAACCAAGAGTTGTACGTTATCTTAACAGACGTCTGAACGCACTTTTTCGTAAAATACACGTTGTTCTAATAATTTAAACACACAATATGTTTACACTGTGGTTTACATTCAGAGTGAAAACAGCAAGGTCCCAGCACTTAATGTTTAAAAATTTGGACATGGACGAGTCCACGTTGAACCGCAAATTTCCCTTATATATTTTTCCACAAAGGCAAGCGACAGCATAACCATTTAGAAAAAATTGACTGCTTCACGCGAATTTTCGCAATGTCAAATATCGAACTGTGACGTAACAAGAAAATCGCTCCACAGTCTTCAATACATAAAGACAACAAACTCACAAGCTCCATCGGGGTGTCAAGACAAATCTTGTGGAATATACGCCATGGCACAAAAAGTGAAATGATTTAACATCTATCCTTTCTACCTACCAGAAAAACCTCTTAAATAAATAAAAACTTCCTTATAAATTATATAAAATCGTACTTACAGTATTCAAACTCCCGATGATAGCGATTTTGATGGATTGTTTACACTAACAACCCCGAGATGGGCTCTCAATGATCATCAGTAAGGAGATTTAGGTGGTGTGACGTCACTGCTTTACCGGGAACAAACCAATCAAACTGCAGAAATGGTCTTCAAAAGAATTCGCGGTAACTCTTGCTCCGCCCATAACGATTCAATGCGACATCTACTTCCTTATTATTGTTTACATCGAAATACATGAGGCTTGACATAGAAAAAAAATTCGATATAATTTGTATTTGGCTGTTGAAGTTCGAAGTGACCGCGCGACGCTAGAATCTCACATATTCAGATTCAGATTAAGCTTTGTAGCAGTAGACAATCTATACATGTCTTGATGCATGGCATCTTATGGGGAGGGGGGTCAACAGAGCAAAGCCGTCAGATGGACACACGAATTCCATGTAGATAACAGAAGCAGACACATAAGAATTCCATATCAAAATATGAACGCAGAAAGGAGTAAGCTGTCTGATGGGTAGATATATATACTATACATAACAGAAGCAGAAATATATAATTTCATACAAAAAGTTGTGAAAAAAAAACACAAATGGAGCAAAACTGTCTGATGAACAGACACATACTGAAGATTTCAGAAGTAGAAACATAAAAGAAATCTGTCTAAGGGTCTATTCCCACAACTTTAGATCGATCTATCACCGCGGGGAGTCTCACCAGACTACCGTCAGATAGTCCCCTTTAAGTGTCCGTCCCCGCCCACTACAAGCCGTAAGGGGCAATTAACTTTCGTGTCCGCCCGGCTGACAGCTATTCAGCGCGAACCCCCAGGGAGTTAGGTCGATCCAAAGTAGGTCGATCTAATCTATGGAAATGGGGTGTAAAAGTGGTGGACAACAAACTAAGTGATAACAAGAAGTGTACATATAGTTTCAGAGACATACACGTGTATATATATATATATATATATATATATATATATATATATATATATATATATATATATATAACAAGCGTGAATGTGGAACAGAGTGCTCAACAGTACGGAGCATTTGTACACAATTAAAATGAATAAATAAATAAATAAACAAAAGACATGCAATAACCCTGACTCCGAGTTTCACGGGCATACCCAGAAGGTATGCCTGATCGTCAGGAGGTTTATTTGAAAATGGTTATATTAGCCGTTTTACATACACAGCGTGATGACACTTACGTCGCATGCCGTGTTAGTTACGTCACTTTATGCCGACACATGGTAATTATCTCAGTTCTTTTATTCAGAGTATCTGGTGTTATCATTATCAACAGTTTTTCGTCTAAGCAAAGATTGCATAGGTGCTGATTCCTCCTTTGCGGCGTTGATTTCTTTATGATGTCCCATCTAATGTAATACTGGGTTTTATTTTCTGTTAATTTCCAAATGTATTTGGATAACTCAGTATCTGCAGCATATTTCTTGTCTCTAAATGACTTGGTGTGATTATTGTATCTCAACTTAAATTGCCCACCACAAAGCCCTATATATTTCACAATGTTGCTAGACAAGCATTCCCCTCTCAAAGGACACTTACTAGGAGCTCTACAATTACATTTCTTATCTTGAGTGTTAATATATACTTATATATATATATAAGTAATATTGATTACTAAGTAATATTGATTATAAGTAATATTGATTACTTAATATATACTTATATATATATATATATAAGTAATATTGATTACTCCTGCAAGTTTGAACACAAAAGAACAATTATTTTATCAATTAATGCACTGTCTTTATTGCACATATGCTGAAAAGAGAGAGAGAGAGAGAAAAAAAACAGTATAACCTTTAGAACAAGGCAGCAAAGCTGTCAAATGTACAGACAAAAAGCAGGAAATAACAATGCATAAAATATGCTACTGCCAATGCTGATGCAAAAGTATGTTATGGCTAACTGCAAATTTAACAACAAATTTTAATTAAGCTCAACAGGTATTACTGATGTAAGTAAAATGTAAGAATCATAAGGCTTCAGGCCCATGAGAGACAAGTAGATACTTTGAAAATGCCGGAATGAGAAAAATGAAAATTTAAGAAATTGCATTAATGCATAATAAATGATTAATCAAAGCAAAAAAGTATAAAATGTATAGCTTTTACATTACACATTAATCAGCATAAGGTATATGACTCTTAGAATACAAAGCATTTCTAAATGTGACCAGAATGGAATGTGCTAGACCAGAACAGCATGTCTGTAACAAAACCAGGGGTTCATAATAGCCATGGAAAATAAATTTGTTCATTTCTAAGTAAAGACAAATATTTTTATTACACATTTGTTTTACTTTCAATTTCAAATTAACTGTACTCACAAAATAAGAAACGATAGGAGAAACTCTGTTTTGCTATGCTCTATAAAAAACAATCAAAATCATTCAAGCCCTTCAAGCCAAAAAAATTTTTTTAACAATTTTTTTGCAACAAACATTTATATAGTCAAAATAAATAAACCTGAATAATTTACTCTAAATAGTCTTGTGAATCAGAGGTACAAAAAGTGGTGTTATTTAAACACTGTACATGACATTATTTCTTCTTTAAGTATACTGAGTGTTCTTGAGTGCGAAGAATGAACATTTCAACTTCACAAATGACACATCTCCAACAGTGTCAATTAAATTATATCATTCTTTGTTCTGTCTTCATACTATGAGTAAGAAGAGAAATCCTATCCTAGTCTTGTTTCCATAGACCCCATGGAAAGAAGTTTCAACTGAACATAAATATTCTCCAAGTAGGTGGTATTTTCCTTTCTGAAATTAAGAAATATATGTAACATGACATATTAATCACATGAAGATTTGTCATTGCTCAATTTGGTTAGTTTTTTAATGTGTTTGGCACACCGAAACTGATTAGAAAGCAAAGCTGACAAATACACAGACACCATACAGGAAACAAACCAGCAAAACTGACAAATGCTGAAACATGACAGCAAAAAGTGCACCAAATTATGTTTAAGTTTTCTTTGATGTTTTGCTATTAAAGACATTTAACATTAAAGTAGCAAGTGATCCAGTTTTACGGGATATATAAGCCAGTGAAAATGTCAATGGGTGAAAAAAAAATGATTTAAAAATAATAACTACTGTAAATGTCAACTGATCATGCTGATTTTAGAAAGCAACCTGTTTTTTTTTTTTTTTACCAAACAAATCTACTCATTAAATTGGTAGTGAAACAAGAATATGGTTTGAACTTGAACTATGACTGTCTTTAATATGACAATTATGTTCTTGCTTTCGTCATTTATGTAAAATATGAGATATAAACATATATTTAACAATATAATGTGTATAATTTTATAAAAGTAAAGAAGAGCACAATAATGTGTGAAAATGTATGACTAATTGTGTAACTTAGAATTGAAATAAATAAAATAATTCAGTAAACAAATATTATTTGTCAATTTCTACTATTATGAAGTTGAAGAAATGTGGAATTAAGAGTTACACATGCTAATTTGATAATAGTGCTCATTACTATTTTGTGTAACAAGGCAGCAAAGCTGTCAAATGTACAGACAAAAAGCAGGAAATAACAAAATAGGCTACTGTCAATTCTGATGCAAAAGTACATTATGTTAAACTGCAAATTCAACATCAAATTTTAATTATGCCCAACAGGTAATACCAATGTAAGTAAAATGTGAAACAAGCATAAGGCTTCAGGCCCATGTAAAACTTCCAGAAAAAGAAGTCAATTAGACTGCTTTTCCAACTCAGGCTGCATTTTAGTCCTGTATTTCTTTTTTGAAAGTTTGGTAATCATAAGTAACATGGTTTTCCCATAATGGTCATCATGGCTGCAGCACCCAAAATTGTGTTTTCTTCTATTCTGATGCAGTATTACATAATGGTTAACAGCATAATGACAATCAATTTTTAATAACAAAATATATGTATCATGGATTTTCAGAAAATGTGACTAGCCTGGGTCTTCAAGCCTGTGGAACTTCAAAGTCACACCTTGAAAATGCCAATATGTGAAAAATTAAATTTTCACAAAAAAACTGTTTATCTGGCATATTGCATTGCCTACTGAAGCTGTATTTTAGTCCCATGTTTCTTTCCTGTAAGTTTGAGAACAGTAAGTGACATGGTTTTTCTTAAAAGGTAATCATGGGAGCAGTGCCCAAAATAGGTTTTTTTCAAATTTTGATGCAATATTACATAATGTTTAACAGCATAATGACCATCAATTTTTAATAATAAAATATTAGTATCATGGATATTCAGAAAATGTGACTAGCAAAGGTCTTCAGGCCCATGGAACTTCAAAGTCACAACTTGAAAATGCCAAAATGTAAACAAGACAGCACTGTTCTGAAATGTTTTTTTCCCCATTTTTAACAATTTTTAACATAAAA